ATTTTAGAGGTTTTAACTTGTCTTTCAGGTATTATAAGTATCAGCTAAATCACTTACATAAAATATGCCCTGGAATAGACGATGGCTCAAAGTGCCCAATATGTCCAAAGGTAAATGCTAGATTAACAATTTGAGTAATTTGTGATAAAGATGCATGTATCATGAACATGGATGGTTTTGTCACAAAATTCAGTTTCCAGTTTATGCACATAATGTCATTCATATGAAGTGAACACTGTATCATGCTGTCAGCTCAGCTTTGCTTTAGGACTTTTCCAGCCTGTGTGTCTTGCTGATACTCACTCATACCTGCTACAGTGTATACTTTATTGTAAACTCTGCTTTCACATCTCCTTTTTTTTAAGGATGATGGAGTACTCATAGAGTGTATGGATGCTTGTTTTGGACTCTCTCGGAAGAAGTCCCAAGGTAGCGGTCTTTCTGCTCCAAAGCACAAGGACCTATTCTTTGGGGATCAAGATGATGTGGACAACTTTGTTGATCATTACAAGGAGATGAGTGTATCCGAGCATGTATGTCCTTGGGTGATGTTTACTTATGTGTAAATCTTGTTATGATGTACACTGTTCTTTTTTTGCTTTGGGTCCCAGTTAGCTAGAATAGAAAAATTAAATGTATAGCAGTTATTGTGATTTGCCTTCAAAGTGCCACGCATGTGTGAGATACATTGTAACAATGATGCCACCCAGTTACCCAAAATTCTTTGTGTTCTGTATATGTAGCTCCATCAGCAGCATTAATTAATAATATTCAACATCTGAATCAGTTTGTGATATTTAGTCAGTTTTTTCTTGGCAGTATCCAAAATGTTATGTTCCAAATTGTGGAATGCCTCACCCTCAGTAGTTAAAAATATGAAAGCTTGTTATATGTTGAACTGGCAGGTTTTTATTCCTTAATGTTGTTTAACTTTTTGAAGCACTTTGGAATTTGCTTTGGTTGGTGCACTACTAAGACAGCTGTTTTTACCAGTTTAATAGTTTAAAAATCACTATAATTTACCTTGCATTTAATTTCTCTACCTCTCTTGCAAATTCTTTTTGGTTTTAGAATTGCAATCATTTCCATGCAGGAGAGGTCCTCTCAAACATAAGATCAAAAGGAAAGAACAAGCTGTTTGATGAAAAAGGGGTATTTGGAAGGGTTTGTCGTCATGACTTCCCAAAAGGATTTATTAGCATCAAATATGGCGAGCGGTAAGGAAATGAATATAGCAAATCCAGTGTAAGTACGTGACCTTAAAATATCACTTGAGTTACTCCATGCACTTTCCTTTGCACATGTGCTTTGGCCCCTTTGCAGGCTCTACAGTTTTTTACATATAAAGACAAATTTTAAAAGCCAATTTAATAGACATGGATTTATTAATATGTATGTACCTGTGTCTCCTTGACAATAATTTTTTTTCATGCTCTCCTTTATGTTTATTAGAATTTCCTATTCAGTATATGAAATTCAAAGGCTTCAAGAAATGAAAAAAGGAAAATGTGCAACTCATTGTGATGTATGATGTTGCATGCATTTTGTCCAAACATCTTAAGGTACCACTATATTGTCTTGCTTTGTTGTACAATGTTCATCTCTGTTGGTGTACCAAAACATTATAGACATACACTTTATATATTTTTCTTCACATTTTGATGTTTATATTTTATCTTATTTTATTTTATTCTCTTTTATTGTTTTTGATCTTAGAATAATCCCAAACACTCAACTCTGGCACAAATCCCACTAGCCATCCCTATATTCCACTGTTATGGGCATAAGGCTTCGTGTCAGGTATGAAAGTGTGGAAAAAAAATGAACTGTGAAACTGGTCATTTAAGGCACCAGCTTCCGAATTAAAAGAATTCACTTGTTTTTGGCATAGCACTGGCAGGGGGTTTTGTATTAAATGTTTCCATTATAACACGTAGCAGTTATTATTTTGAGGCTTAAATTATATTTTACATAAAGAAAACTTAGAACACTAATGGCACAGACCTGTAACTATATATGCAGCGACATTGGAACATTACGTTCTTCTTGCACCAATGAGCTACATGTAGGTAGCATTATCCTGCTATCCCACGTTAACATCCATATCGGTTTTATATTTTATCAATTGAGGCACTGTTATGCATTTGTGTAATGAAAACGTTCATGCTTGGACCCATTTAATTTACAGGTTCAGTTTAGTCCACGCAGGACAACAGGTGTTGGCCTAACTGATGGTGAAGGGACAGAGAGACTGTGGTCGTTCCTTCGCGGCTTCTCGGCAATAACTAAAGAGATGACTCCAGAAAAGAGAATTGACACCTTGACAGATGGTCTTTTACTTTATGGCAAGCGAATTGTCAAAAAGCTAGGTCTGTTTTAGAATGACTTTCTAAAGCAGTTTTTATCATAAATTTTTTCTTCTTTTTCCTGTAAAGGAATACATATTTCAGTTACTGTTCCGTCTAATTACAGCTGTAGCATACATGCAAGTGACAAATTGGACATATTTAACATTAATTTAGATAATCCAATAACTTACACTTTAATGTACCAATTATAATATTATTGTATCTCTTCCTGTTCAGATTTTTCATCTTTATTCATAGACTACATACACATTTACCTGTTTAAAAACATGAAGGCATTGTACAGATGTATTTAAAATGAATTTGGTTGATAACATGACGAGCCTTTTTTGCAATGTGTTTTGTCTTTTTTTGATACACCTTTAAGATTTATACATAATGTTTCATAAGGTCCTGTTTTGAAAGCGAAACACTTGAAGGCAAAAGAATTGTTGAGAAAGTCTTCCAAAGAGCTTGAGGAGATTTTTAAAGGTTTGCCAGGTATTGCTGTCTTTTGATTTTAACTTTTAAAAGCAATCTCTTAGTGTACCATACTTTCATATCTTATTAATTAGTATTTAGGTTTTGGTTGGGAGGCGGGGTCCGATTCCCTGGTGAAGTTCATTAGTTAGCTGGCTCCGTCTGAAGGTCCCCTCTTCCTTTTGGCAGTCTTTTTATCCAGTCTACGAATTTCCCCTTTCTCATGTTCTGTTCTGTTTTCCTTTTTCCCCTTCCTTTTTCTTCTTTTCCTCAGTCGTGGTTTGCATTGCTTATAAGTATTGCACTTGCCAGCTGCCCTAGGACAACCAAAATAACAAACAAACTTTCATTATAGTTCCTTATGAGCATGAAACTATTCAGCAATGGAAGCAAATGGAAGAGAGTGCTATTGATCCTGTGGAGACAGGTATGATTGTTGCATTACTGCCACTGCTTCGTTTCCGACCCACTTTGTTGGTATCTGCGCTTTTTTCTATTATTTCTTAGTTCTTTGAAGTCTCCAAATCTAATTATTATTTGTCCTTCTATATTGTCACAAACTAAAGAAAAAAAATCGTGATTGAAGTTGCGAGAGTCCTCAACGAAATTTTTGCAATACAGTGTTCTTGGTAGTTGTAGCTTCACTTGACATCTACATTCAAGTGACTTCTCCGTTTTACTATTGATATAGTGCTCGCCAAAGAATGGGATGAACTGTACGTGGAGCTGCTACTCACAACGCAAAGCATTCGGTAAGTGTAACTAGGTTCTGTTAATTTCTTGTCTCCCTCCAACAACAGCAAACACTCCCCTCCCCCCGGCCTCCAACACACACTCACACCCACGCACCCACGCACACACATCACATTGTCCATTGTAATGTTGGGTACATGATTTTGGATCGAATAAATTGTCTTATCAATGAGTAACATTGTAACGTATGAATGGAAACTCTCGGGTTTCAAACTGGTCGAATATAACTGGATGATAACTCTTAGTATCTTATGCAGTAAGTGATACACTCTGTAAGTGATGTATAGTTGATAAAACTAGTCTATATTTTGATAATAATGTTTATTTTAGAAATGACCTTGTTTATGCTGAGTCAGATGAAGATGATCGACTTGATGAAACTCAACGCAAGCTTGACCGGTTTGTTTATATTTTTGTTATATCAATAGTTATATATCTGTACGAGTTTTCAAGGCCACCTATAACTACGTCAATTGAAATTTGAATTGATGAATCCTTGCACATTCGTCCTTAAACTTTGTAAAATAAAAAGAAAATGAGATAATTTGGTTCACTACAGTAGCTGTTAGCAAAACCGTAACTGCTATCAACCCATATTATTTTACAAGGAATTTGAAACGATTGGACACCATGGAAAGAAAGCACGGAGTAAGACAGCGTTGGAAGGAGTCTGATTCACATTTCCAAGGAGCAAGGCGACGTCTTGAAGAAAAAAATCGAAGTCGACAAATTTTACAACTCCACAAGCTGGCGTCGGAACGAACTTTTTTATTGGAAATGAAGAGGAAATACGCTGGTACCTAAACCTATTTTGTGATCTATTTCACGGTCTTACACTAATTGTTTATCAGTTTTGCAGGAGCTAAATACATAAAGTCCCTTCAATTTTTCTGCAGTTATGAACGTGGCGAAATGAATTCTTTGACGAAGCTACTATACAGAGAGTGGAATTTTTTTTGGAAGTGCAGAATACACGTTAATGAAGTCACTTATCTCTCCAGATTTACCCTGGGAGTGGTTTGGGTATTGTAGGTGTCATTTCTGAATCCAAGTTTTGTTAAAATGGCCTCTTCTTTCTCCCAACTTATTGTTCTTATGTTTTCTGTTTCATTATTATTAGTCACTAATAAAACCTCCTTTTTATCTTGTATGTAGATGGTCAAGCCATTGCAATTAAACTGTCAAAGCAAATAACAAAAAGTTACCGAGAACATGAAAAGGACGATCACCTGCCACAATGTTCTTCCTGGAGTTGCTGCCTTAACGTTCGATGATGTAAAGGACCCGTCATCTGATTTGTACTCAACTTTCAAACCTCAACCCCTTCGGGGCACGCCGTGGCGAATGCAACAAGACGGAAGGTGATTGAATTACATTGCCTGAAGGAGAGATGTGAAGAGGAGATCTCTAATAAAAGTTGAAATGTTACGTCTCCTAGCTTTTCTTGAAAAACAGATGGAAGTTACTACTATGGCCGCAAACGCGAAAGTGGCAGACGAACCGTTAGAACTTGGGTTAAAATCTTTACTTCTATTAAGACGGGCGGAATATACTAAGAAGCTCCAAGCGTTGAAAACACTTTGGGTGGGGCTAGTTGATATTCCTACAAACCACAATCAAGTCATTGATTACCACCAGTTCCTTGATGACAACGTAGTGTCCAGCGGGGATACACCTTTGGCAGATGTCGAGGACTCTGACGACGACTCTGCCTCTGATTATGATAGTGACGAATAAGTTATATTAAGTCGGCACTTTCTTAATGGCCTGCAGTATAGGTGCCTACGAGTACGTAGATTTACGCTGGTTAAGATTGTGTACAAGTAAATACACCGTAGAACAAAAGGGCTTTACAGTTGGTGCAAAAGACTTACTGCCCCTAATCCAATCAAGGTGGCCCGGGATCCAGTCTCGGCTGAGACGTCATTTATTTACCGTAAATCCTCTATTAACCCCCCCCCCCCCCTTAAATATGCCCCTCCCTCAAATTAGCCCCTCCTTTTGAGGGGAAGAAAGTTAATACGCCTCCCCTCTCTATTACGCCCCCCTCCCCTCCCCTAATCATTCTTCGCCACTAAATGACTGCAAAACTTCGTTTGAAGTGATCCGGGATGTTTCCTGAAACTCTGGACCTCTGCTTCATAGCCTCCCACCTTCTTGTTCTTGAGTGTCTCCACTTTGTATTCTTTGTATTCAAATGAGCTGGAATAGAATTAAGCCCCCGGGGGTAGGGGCTTAATAGAGGATTTACGGTATGTGGGTTGAGTTTGTTGCGGGTTCTCGTCCTTGCTCCGAGGGGTCTTTCTCTGAGTAATCCAATTTTTTCTCCTCCAACGTGGCCATTTCCAAATGTCAATTCGGTCAGGAAGGGTAGAGGAATATCAAATGCGTGGATGTGTTACCTATAATTTTTTTATCTAGTTATTTAGAGAAACGTGCACAGACAAATGCCTAAGTAGTCTCGGCACGCGCATTCGTGGCTTTGTCTCAGTCTGGTTCGCAAGCGGCGTGGAATAAATTTGTGGAAAAAACCAAGAGAACGTCACTGGGTCATAAATAAAATGTGTGCATGGATCTGGTGTTTCCATTCTTGATGTGCAAAAAAATGGCAATCTAACGAGGTTACACCCCTGCAAGCCCTTTGTCCTAAGTTCAGGACTCCTTTTGGGAAAAAGTCTCTACCTGATACGCATAAAGTACAAAAAAAAAACATCTTTCACCCTTTTGTGCGGACTAGTTCACTATTGTGAAAAGTTACTTTTGCGAGTCCTTTTGGGGAAAAGTCTCGACCTGATACGCATAAAGTGTGACAAAAAAACCCATCTTTCACCCTTCTGTGCGAACTAGTTCACTATTTGGGGAATTTCTGGTCAGAATTTACCTTTGCGAGTCCTTTTGGGGAAAAGTCTCGAGCTGATTCGCATAAAGTAGAAAAAACCCCATCTCTCACCCTTTTGTGCGAACTAGTTCACAGTTTGGGGGATTTCTTGTTAAAAGTTACCTTCGCGAGTCGTTTTGAGGAAAAGTCTCGACCTGATTCGCATAAAGTAGAAAAAACTCCTTCTTTGACTCTTTTGTGCGAACTAGTTCACCATTTGGGAGATTTCTAGTGAAAAGTTACCTTCGCGAGTCGTTTTTAGGAAAAGTCTCGACCTGATTCGCATAAAGTAGAAAAAACCCCATCTCTCACCCTTTTGTGCGAACTAGTTCACAGTTTGGGGGATTTCTTGTTAAAAGTTACCTTCGCTAGTCCTTTTGGCGATAAGTCTCGACCAGATACGCATAAAGTGGAAAAAACCTCATGTTTGACCCTTTTGTGCGAACTAGTTCACTATTTCGGAGATTTCTAGTGAAAAGTTACCTTCGCGAGTCGTTTTGAGGAAAAGTCTCGACCTGATTCGCATAAAGTCGAAAAAACCTCATATTTGACTCTTTTGTGCGAACTTGTTCACTATTTCGGAGATTTCTAGTGAAAAGTTACCTTCGCGAGTCGTTTTGAGGAAAAGTCTCGACCTGATTCGCATAAAGTCGAAAAAAAACCCTTCTTTGACTCTTTTGTGCGAACTAGTTCACCATTTGGGAGATTTCTAGTGAAAAGTTACCTTCGCGAGTCGTTTTGAGGAAAAGTCTCGACCTGATTCGCATAAAGTCGAAAAACCCCTTCTTTGACTCTTTTGTGCGAACTAGTTCACCATTTGGGAGATTTCTAGTGAAAAGTTACCTTCGCGAGTCGTTTTTAGGAAAAGTCTCGACCTGATTCGCATAAAGTAGAAAAACCCCATCTCTCACCCTTTTGTGCGAACTAGTTCACAGTTTGGGGATTTCTTGTTAAAAGTTACCTTCGCGAGTCGTTTTGAGGAAAAGTCTCGACCTGATTCGCATAAAGTCGAAAAAACCTCATATTTGACTCTTTTGTGCGAACTTGTTCACTATTTCGGAGATTTCTAGTGAAAAGTTACCTTCGCGAGTCGTTTTGAGGAAAAGTCTCGACCTGATTCGCATAAAGTAGAAAAAACCTCATATTTGACTCTTTTGTGCGAACTTGTTCACTATTTGGGGGAGTTCTTGTGAAAAGTTACTTTTGCGAGTTCTTTGGGGAAACGTCTCGACCTGATTCGCATAAAGTAGAAAAAACTCCTTCTTTGACTCTTTTGTGCGAACTAGTTCACCATTTGGGAGATTTCTAGTGAAAAGTTACCTTCGCGAGTCGTTTTTAGGAAAAGTCTCGACCTGATTCGCATAAAGTAGAAAAAACCCCATCTCTCACCCTTTTGTGCGAACTAGTTCACAGTTTGGGGGATTTCTTGTTAAAAGTTACCTTCGCTAGTCCTTTTGGCGATAAGTCTCGACCAGATACGCATAAAGTGGAAAAAACCTCATGTTTGACCCTTTTGTGCGAACTAGTTCACTATTTCGGAGATTTCTAGTGAAAAGTTACCTTCGCGAGTCGTTTTGAGGAAAAGTCTCGACCTGATTCGCATAAAGTCGAAAAAACCTCATATTTGACTCTTTTGTGCGAACTTGTTCACTATTTCGGAGATTTCTAGTGAAAAGTTACCTTCGCGAGTCGTTTTGAGGAAAAGTCTCGACCTGATTCGCATAAAGTCGAAAAAACCTCATATTTGACCCTTTTGTGCGAACTTGTTCACTATTTCGGAGATTTCTAGTGAAAAGTTACCTTCGCGAGTCGTTTTGAGGAAAAGTCTCGACCTGATTCGCATAAAGTAGAAAAAACCCCATCTCTCACCCTTTTGTGCGAACTAGTTCACAGTTTGGGGGATTTCTTGTTAAAAGTTACCTTCGCGAGTCGTTTTGAGGAAAAGTCTCGACCTGATTCGCATAAAGTAGAAAAAACTCCTTCTTTGACTCTTTTGTGCGAACTAGTTCACCATTTGGGAGATTTCTAGTGAAAAGTTACCTTCGCGAGTCGTTTTTAGGAAAAGTCTCGACCTGATTCGCATAAAGTAGAAAAAACCCCATCTCTCACCCTTTTGTGCGAACTAGTTCACAGTTTGGGGGATTTCTTGTTAAAAGTTACCTTCGCTAGTCCTTTTGGCGATAAGTCTCGACCAGATACGCATAAAGTGGAAAAAACCTCATGTTTGACCCTTTTGTGCGAACTAGTTCACTATTTCGGAGATTTCTAGTGAAAAGTTACCTTCGCGAGTCGTTTTGAGGAAAAGTCTCGACCTGATTCGCATAAAGTCGAAAAAACCTCATATTTGACTCTTTTGTGCGAACTTGTTCACTATTTCGGAGATTTCTAGTGAAAAGTTACCTTCGCGAGTCGTTTTGAGGAAAAGTCTCGACCTGATTCGCATAAAGTCGAAAAAACCCCTTCTTTGACTCTTTTGTGCGAACTAGTTCACCATTTGGGAGATTTCTAGTGAAAAGTTACCTTCGCGAGTCGTTTTGAGGAAAAGTCTCGACCTGATTCGCATAAAGTCGAAAAAACCCCTTCTTTGACTCTTTTGTGCGAACTAGTTCACCATTTGGGAGATTTCTAGTGAAAAGTTACCTTCGCGAGTCGTTTTTAGGAAAAGTCTCGACCTGATTCGCATAAAGTAGAAAAAACCCCATCTCTCACCCTTTTGTGCGAACTAGTTCACAGTTTGGGGGATTTCTTGTTAAAAGTTACCTTCGCGAGTCGTTTTGAGGAAAAGTCTCGACCTGATTCGCATAAAGTCGAAAAAACCTCATATTTGACTCTTTTGTGCGAACTTGTTCACTATTTCGGAGATTTCTAGTGAAAAGTTACCTTCGCGAGTCGTTTTGAGGAAAAGTCTCGACCTGATTCGCATAAAGTAGAAAAAACCTCATATTTGACTCTTTTGTGCGAACTTGTTCACTATTTGGGGGAGTTCTTGTGAAAAGTTACTTTTGCGAGTTCTTTGGGGAAACGTCTCGACCTGATTCGCATAAAGTAGAAAAAACTCCTTCTTTGACTCTTTTGTGCGAACTAGTTCACCATTTGGGAGATTTCTAGTGAAAAGTTACCTTCGCGAGTCGTTTTTTAGGAAAAGTCTCGACCTGATTCGCATAAAGTAGAAAAAACCCCATCTCTCACCCTTTTGTGCGAACTAGTTCACAGTTTGGGGGATTTCTTGTTAAAAGTTACCTTCGCTAGTCCTTTTGGCGATAAGTCTCGACCAGATACGCATAAAGTGGAAAAAACCTCATGTTTGACCCTTTTGTGCGAACTAGTTCACTATTTCGGAGATTTCTAGTGAAAAGTTACCTTCGCGAGTCGTTTTGAGGAAAAGTCTCGACCTGATTCGCATAAAGTCGAAAAAACCTCATATTTGACTCTTTTGTGCGAACTTGTTCACTATTTCGGAGATTTCTAGTGAAAAGTTACCTTCGCGAGTCGTTTTGAGGAAAAGTCTCGACCTGATTCGCATAAAGTCGAAAAAACCTCATATTTGACCCTTTTGTGCGAACTTGTTCACTATTTCGGAGATTTCTAGTGAAAAGTTACCTTCGCGAGTCGTTTTGAGGAAAAGTCTCGACCTGATTCGCATAAAGTAGAAAAAACCCCATCTCTCACCCTTTTGTGCGAACTAGTTCACAGTTTGGGGGATTTCTAGTGAAAAGTTACCTTCGCGAGTCGTTTTGAGGAAAAGTCTCGACCTGATTCGCATAAAGTCGAAAAAACCCCTTCTTTGACTCTTTTGTGCGAACTAGTTCACCATTTGGGAGATTTCTAGTGAAAAGTTACCTTCGCGAGTCGTTTTGAGGAAAAGTCTCGACCTGATTCGCATAAAGTCGAAAAAACCCCTTCTTTGACTCTTTTGTGCGAACTAGTTCACCATTTGGGAGATTTCTAGTGAAAAGTTACCTTCGCGAGTCGTTTTTAGGAAAAGTCTCGACCTGATTCGCATAAAGTAGAAAAAACCCCATCTCTCACCCTTTTGTGCGAACTAGTTCACAGTTTGGGGGATTTCTTGTTAAAAGTTACCTTCGCGAGTCGTTTTGAGGAAAAGTCTCGACCTGATTCGCATAAAGTCGAAAAAACCTCATATTTGACTCTTTTGTGCGAACTTGTTCACTATTTGGGGGAGTTCTTGTGAAAAGTTACTTTTGCGAGTTCTTTGGGGAAACGTCTCGACCTGATTCGCATAAAGTAGAAAAAACCCCATCTTTGACCCTTTTGTGCGAACTAGTTCACCATTTGGGGAATTTCTTGTCAAAAGTTACTTTGCGAGTCCTTTTGGGGAAAAGTCTCGACCAGCTAGTGGTCTATTATCAATGCTGCTTTCTTATTGGTTGAGCTACTACTAAGCTATATGTTATAGCCCACTAGTAGCGAAAAGCGCCGGCTTTGAAAACCAAAACAATGGCGGCCGGATCGCGTTTTTCTAGCTAAGGTCGTTGTTTCTCGATATTTTTGACCAACTAGTTGGATTTTACTAAAACAGTTATTTCTCTCGCCCTCAAGGCCTCTGAGTAATAATTAATCTGAGTAATTTTTAAATATTTAATCAAAAGAACATAACACTTTGTTGAATTCTATTACTCTCCTTATTTCTCATTTCTGGTAATTTTTTTAAAATAATTATACCAATTATTACAATTTATCATGTTCCAGATATTTCGTGTTCCAGGATGTTCCGGAATGGTCCATTGTCCATGTTCCATGTTCCATGTTCCATGTTCCATGTTCCATGTTCCTGATTTTAATGACGGCCTGGTAACACGTGGAACCCAAGTGAAAATCCACAGTTTGTTTGAATGCATTCAACACTTACGTTCCTCTAGTTTCCTGCTTCGATCCACCCATGGCACCTGTCAAATCACACGGAAAGAAAAATGCAGCACAGGTTAGAAGAACTTATCGCAAAAGTGTGTACAACGTAAGTATCATTCTGAGACCTATTCGGCTAATTCTATGGGAAGCGAATATTGTAAATGGCCTGTGGACCCTGGACCCTGCACCCTGGACCCTGGACTCCTTCTACGAAAAAAAAAAATTCCCATCCTAAAGAAATCCTCGGACACCCTCTCCATCCAAAGCAAATGAGGACCCCTAAAAACAAAGAGAAATGAGATAATTAAACAAAGAGGAGAACTGGCCTTTGTAAGGCACATTCAATTTCAGTGGCCAAACCCGGAGAAAAGAATATGACCTGGCTGCATGAAAATGTCGCCAGATCACATCAACACCCTCCTGTACCCTCCGCTAAGGCTCTTTTTGTTTGTTTTTTCATTGACAACAGGTTAAAAGCATATGCAAGTCGAATTGTGGACTTTGTAAGGTAGAGAAATGCAGAAAAAGGGGTCAGTTTTTTAAAAGACTGGACAAACATCTTGCAAGGGTCCATCCAGAAATAACAGAGCGCCAGCACAACAACCTTCCTCAAGTCCCTTACAAAGAAGCCTCCCACATGCAATATCGCGTAAAAGAGCAGTGCGGTCTTTGTGGGAAGACTTTGTTACTTCGGCCACATCTTAAGACCCATAAGATAAAAACGTGGGATGAATACATTTCAAAACTGAAAGAAATTCCTAAGAAGCAAGATCAAGGAAGCCCGTTATTAACGAGAAAGGAGACGCCTTCTGCAGGACTTAATTCACTTCTCAGGCAAATAAGTGCGACGACCACCAGCACAGCCAAGTGTTCAGAATCCACTGCTGACTCACATACTAACGTCGATCAAGAGCAGGAACAAAGTACGACGACCACCAACACTGCGAACTGTTCAACATCCACTGCTGATTCCCATGAAGCAAAAAGCAGGGAACAAGAAGCAGAGAGTGGTTCCCCAGCAGACCCTCTGATTCTAAAGGTGAATTTCACCGAGGAAGAGTATTTGCGCTTTTGTGTACACAATACAAATTCGTATATGGTCCTGGCGACCCACCATGCGATCGTAAATGGGAAAAGTGACCCATCTCTAGTACTTAATCACTTGAGCAAAAACAAGCTGACGATTGATCACTGCAAATATATTGTAGACATGAACCTTATACCAACATTGTATGGTTTTTATAGATTTGCCAGCTATTACCCCTATCCCAAAGGAAAATGTATATCCTGCACTGCTATCTCCTGCGAATGCGGTAAGCTACCAAGGCCATTTTATTTGTTTTGTCGCCGCGCATGCAACACGGTCTTTAATTGTACTAAATGCAAAACCTGGGCAAGTGGGTACCACATATGTGAAGACTTCTTTTGGTGCGAGGTATGCAGCAATGCTGCAAAAAATTGGCCGCTGCAAATGGAATTTTTCCCGTAGAAATCATACATACTACCAATTGTGGGACTACATCGTTAAGCGTGTTCCATATCGAGTTATAATAATGAGTAGTGCCACTTGATTTGGCTTTTAAAACTGAAGATGAAACTTGCGTTCCGCCGATCTCTATCCATGTTCTGTCCAAGATCCGTTGAACGATGTCCCAAACGACCTCACTTCAATGGGCGCGCGTTCTACAACACCGAACGCAATAAACACTGAAGCAATATTCAAGTCCAGACAATTGGCTTTTTATTAAAAATATGAGTATTAGCCACGCACAATATATTTGGCCCACAAAAGGGAATGAATAGGAATGCAAACCTTACCAAGTACCATAGAATTATAACCGCTGTTTACGACCGAGTAAAGCCCAACGGTTATGGAAGTACATAGGATATCAACTATGAAGCAAATAATATCGACCGGCTAAGTATATTAAAATCCTTGTTATTGCATACTCACAGCGATTATCATAGCTACAGCTCAACGAAATATATTAGTCAAGCTTTATACTCGCAGGACTATACATGACATAGATTCTAATGTATGCACAGTGCAAAAAGAATAAAGTAGGTTACAGTACGTAAAACGAATAATCTGGGAATATAGCTGCCTCTCTTCGCTCTCCACCACTGCAGACGTTTTGCGAAACGTCTGCATTGGTGGGGAACGATGTGAGGGGGCTATATTCGCAGGCTACAAAACGAGTAGCAAATAGCACCCCAACCTGAGTTGATAAGTGATAAACTGTCATGAAAATAAAGTAAACAATATTTTGTCAGTTGCTACATTTAAATTAAAGACAAAAACTGTCATGGCTTGCAACTTCGTTGTTAGAACAATTACTAGACTTTCAAAAAAGCCCTTGGTGGGATTTGGACTTCCTCGCTCGCGGTCGGCAGCTTCGCGGCCAAAAAAGGTGTAGCAAGTCTAAACAATTGCAGTCACCATTATATTAACGCAACTGAAGGGGCTTTTCACATCACGGCGGCTATGTTGGTGTCCCAGCTAATCCTTTTTTATTATATAGATACTGATGAAATACCAGGATTTTTCCTTTTACTAAAAAATCATATCTTCATCGCGCCCAGTGAAGATACTATTTTTATCTTTCACGTGTGACGATGTTGGTGTTGCCATGGTTACTAACATGATTAGCCAATTACAAGCGAGCTTAGCGTTCAGGTTACCTTTATAACTTTATATCCGAGTTTCATAACATTTTCGTGACAGGCATTTTGCGATAGGTGACCACTTTAATTGCACTATTTTGCTGTTTCGAAAATGAATAAAAAAAGTTGTGTTTTGGGTAGGAATTTCATCAGTAACTATAAAATAAACAGAACATTATATGGCCGCTTGGGGATACGAATTTTATCTTCTCGTGCTGAAAGTCTCTCTCACTCGTTTACTTCGCTCACTCGTGAGAGATACTTTCAGCACTCGAAGATAAAATTCGTATCCCCGCGCGGCCATGTAATATCCTCTATATGTAAACACTGTCTTTGGTGTAATGAATTTGCATAGCCACTGCCAACGTGAGTGATAACACTTTATTTGTTCGTGACCGAAACTTAAGAGAGTCGCAACAACTGACGAGCTAAGTGTGTGTTAGCGGGGTTCCACTGTAACAATTTAAGATCTCAAAAAACCATATTGTTGCAGAGTGATCCTTATACAATCCTGAAATAAATCTGGAAGTTCAAACTCCGCTGCACTGGCATTGCCATTTAAACACTGCTCATAGTATAAAGGACCATGGTCGGTTTTGACGATCCATTTTACCTTTATCTCATCCTCCTCAGGAAGCATTCGGTACCTTTTACCGTTACCTACACGATCTAGCCAGTAACCCTTTAATTTTGTCGAATCCCTGCCATTAAATACTTTGGAAATGACTTCCTGATGGCAATAAAATAACCAAAAGTCTTCATCTTCAGCTTCGGTATACAAGGGAAAGATGAGGTCTCTAGGAGACCTGCTGCAATCCCTTGTGTTATGGCCGACTGCAGCCCACGCATCCCGATCAAAAAACTTTCTGCAATTTCTATATAAGGTCAGACGTTCTTCTTGATCTAGCACGCAATCCTCCACGTTGATTTCCTCCTCCTTTAGGATCCTTTTCCCAGAAATAACGTCGTTTACGTTAACGTCACTTGCAACCTTCTTGACAATCTTGACCAACAATGGGACATCAGCGGACACAGAGTGTGAAGCAGATGTACTGGCCTGGTGTTGAGATTCTTCGGCTGTGGAGGGCTGCATGACAACAAAGGCAATCGTCTCTGCTGCCTCCATTATGGCCCTACACTGCAGTGCGCCATAGCAGAATGGCTTTTTAAAAATTATACCATCCGGCAGGCCCTGAACTTCAAAGTTCTTCTTTAGATAAGGTACTCGTGAACCCGGCTTGCCAATTGCTTCACCTTTAAATCAAATGCAAAAAGTAGTTTTAGTACGTATTCTACTTAGGTGAACGTTAGTCCTTTCGACCATGGCTTTGTTGTTTTCAGACAGAAAGTCACGAAAGACAAAATTTACCCCTTTATGCCTAAAGTTTATAGCAACTTACTGTATTTCTTGTTAAATAGGGCTTGCACGTGGCGATAGGTGTACCTCTTGGTTTGGGTATCTACAAAAGCACAATAGGGAAGAGTGCACCACATTATAAAATAACTTTTTATTAAAGTGGGCTATGATCGAATTAAATGAGAGCCGAATTTCTAAACATTTGTAGCTTGTCAATCTATTTTCGGCGAATAATTTACTCTGCCAACTTCACTGATCAAAAATAATCCCAAATATGCTAACATCTAACAATAAGCTATTTATTAAAGGAAATATTGATTATAAGGAATCGTTACTTATTTTGGAACATACTTCATTCCCTCAACTCAAATCACATACCCCCCTTTGCCTCTTTTCACCTTGGAGCAGACACTTGTCTTAGGGTATCGCTATGGCTTTCCGCGCGCAAGCTAACGTACTTAGGGGCACTGACAAGCTGCAAATCTCCCCGGCTCAAAGCATATACATCATGACTGCTTGTTTTGACTAAGGAAAAACGTTATAGGACAGCCGAAAGTCAACATAATATAAGTGTATCCTAATCACGCCGTAACAAACTTACAAAAATGCTGCCTAAATTTCGCTAAAATATCCTCATTTGAACTGAGAAAGCCAATTCCTTCCACGGATCCGAGATTAAACACTTCTCCAATGCATCAATAAACATTAATGCGCTGTTGCATCCAAGTTCTTCTAAAAACATAATCTAAATTAAAAAAAAAATGATCAGAAATGGCAAAATAGACTACTACTATACTAGTAACAGTAATCACACATATAGTGCGGCCGACATGTAAACTTAGGCTATTACGTAACAGAGGAACAGATAAAACGGGCTGCAACTTCGAATACTCTCGGGTGGATTGCACAGGTCCCCCAACAAATAAGCACGAAATGAGAGTTGTGGTCAATTTGTCGAGCGCAACAAAAGTGAAGTCTAATTATTCAACTATATTTTAATTTCCACCAAGTAAATGTCCATTTTCTTACATAAATACCGCATACTAACTAACTTCGACGGCCGCACTGTAAGTTACGGACCAAGTTTAGCGCGCGGGTCATAACGAGGTGCTCTACCTTCCCATCACACCGTGCGCGACACTGTAGAGGTTCAAGAAAGACGACTGGGGATGAGTCAGTGTGAAAAGATTGTTGATTCTCATTGCCATGATATATCATCAGTTTGAAAACCAATAGAAAAAACTTAAACTTAAATCTTTTTTTTTTTTTTCAAACCTCTGCCAATAACTGCCTCCTATGTCTATCGATGAGTTTTTTCTTTTCCTCTTGGGAAAACTCGGCGACATCAGGAAACTTGTAGGCTTTCGATATATCCTCAAATTTTTTTTTCTCTTCCTTTGAAAGGGCTTCCCATCGCGTGGAGGCCAGACGATTTTTCTCCGACATGCTTAGACCTTTACAATCCCCTGAAAAGAGGGTAAAGAGGATAGTACATCGAAACGATGATGAACATAACGAATAGCTATAATAATTACTGGCACCAGCTATAATAATTATTATGCAAGCTGTAAGAGATTTCGAGTTATTATTACTTTAGTTCACCTTTTCGAAAAAATTCAGCACAAAAAAGGTTGTATGGATTTGGGCCCCTCTGCAAGGGCGGCAGTTTGATCTTCTTCGCTGGTTGCTGGTCAGTAGAATCAGTGTGCTGTCTCTGACATCTGCGCTTGTTCCTTTCATTGCCAATCCATTTCTGCAAGTAAAACATTTGTCCTTTACAAAAAAGTTTCAACCGAGATAAAATTATTGGCAGAGGAGCAAGAAAATGCTAATTAAAAAAGGCTTTGTATGTCATTAACGTGTATTCTGAGAGCTATTGATTTTATTATATGTCTCACATAGTACACACGCTGTGATTGGTCAATTTTGTGGGCCGTACTGACCCGCTAAACTTGTCCGATACAGTGCAAAGTCTCCAGAGATATAACAAATACCTTACTAACCTCGTTTTTCTCGGTCCGTATTGCAAGTTACGGATCCTCGTTTCCCCCTCCATTTATGACCCAAGCGCGAGTAACTTACAGTATGGACCTCAAACTCGGTTAGTAAAAGGTATAGCGTCATAGAGCATAGAAATGCTTCTCAACAAGAAAGTTCCGACAAATAAAAAAAATTCCCCGAATCGTTTAGCTTCTTTATTTCACCCTTTTGCAGTATTTTTTCTTCACATGAAAGATCAAAGCCAGAGCTTTGTTTTAAGCAAAAAATTCAGAACTGAATGAGCAAGGGTGAGACTAATCTGTGGAGCTGCAGACCGCGGAACCAGCGGAACTTACGGAACCTCCAGAAAAGACTACTTTTTCTGCAGTAATTCGTCTCAACTTCGGCCGATTTGAATAATCAGTAGAAGCAGACCCTTTTGGGTGCTTTTAGACTCGAAAGAACGCCGTAGACAGGCAAACGTATATACGGACCAATCTGCGATTGAGGCATACAAAATACGGAATGACGCCACAACGAGATGCAATTCCCAGGAGCGTCCTGTTCCTTCCTGAGCGGAAGTGGTGGCAAAATGGTGTCTAGACTTCACCGAGAGTTAGAACAGTCGCACACATTATTTCCTGTATAAACAATAAGCTAATAACAAAAAAAATTAAGGCCTATTTAAATGGCATATCTCACTAAATAAAATTCAAAAGGAGCAATCATAGGAGATGCATCAATGCCAAACTGGAATTGAGTGAGAAAATTGTCCCCATCCCTTCCTGAGAATTTAAAAGTGGTTGGAGATCATCCAGCCCTGTCGTTGGGAACGATTTTTTGCACTTCCAATCTTGTATCCAGAGTCGACGGTGCTCTTTGGTCAGTGGATGTTTGGGCGACGGGTGGGGTTATCGCTTGGTCCAATCAGGAGCCCATAACCTAAATTAGTAGTTTCATTTTTACCACTTAAAGCATTGTTTATATCCAAAAGCTCTGTGTGACAGTTCTAAGTTTTGGAGAGGTCAGGGAACGATTTTTCACTCACTTTTGGTCTTTGGAGGGTCTTGGGACGCTTTTTTGATCAACTAACGGTTGATTGTGACACTTGCGTGACACATCCGGTTTCTCGGCGTGATCCCTAGCTTGATGTGTGAAGTCTGTCTATATCATGTATGTAACAATCGCTCATCATTGGTCTACTTGAACATGAACGAGTGTAACGAGTTCGACATCATGCATGTATCAATGTAAATCACGCGGGGGGTTGTGGGGTTGGGTAAGGGGCTTTGATTAAAATTTTTGGAATTAAATTTCCCAGTGTGGGAAACTAATGTCAATCAAAAGTGTCAAATAAGCCCCACCATGGGGCAACAATTCTAACGAGACAATAATGTAATACTATATAAAACAAACACAAAAAAACCATTTGAAAAGTATGTTCTTGCTACTAAGTTAAACTGAAAATATGACTGCTCATTGTTGTTTGTGCAGTTACAAAAAAGTCGATAAAATTTGAATCACTTTACAATCAGTGTGCTGTTTGTAACTACCATCGAGAACACAACTTTAAATGAACAAGACTTTTGTCAGTTTAAAAGAGACAGTTTGCTTGGGCTGACCAGAACTTTAAAGATAAATCAGTATCAGTCAAACTCAAATGTCCCGACCACTGGGTCGCTTCGCACGATCAAAAGCCAGACAGGGGGGATAGTCTCACGCATCAAATGCCCACCTCTTGCCCGCACTCCACCCCACCCCCCGCCCCCCAACATGCAGGATTTGCATTAAAATGTACATTAAGAGGATGTTTAGCTTTTCTGTAGGGTTGTCGGAACAACAACAAGGAGCTTTAATTCTGATGAACGTAGTAGTTCTCACACGACTGTAAAACTCTAAACTTTTACTTTAACAAGGCCCTGCCCAGCTGCCAAGTGAACTATTAACTTTTCAGTACTGAAGTCAACACACAGGACCTCTGTCATGCTTGAATGAACACTAACTCACTTCTTCAGCCTGTGAACAACTAGTCATTCCAAACCTCTAGCTCGGAGGCTAATGTACTTCTTACATGAAATTCTAGAACCTTCTAAATAGCTTGATATTAGTAGCATTACAACATTCTTCTATTTACAAAGGCTGACAAAAACTGCTAAATCACTCAAAGGAAATATAAACACAAACACTAATTAAATATTAAGGAATCTTCCAGACGTACATGCAAGTTCTAGTCGGTCACGCAATGCATGAAAGCAATTTTCAATGCATAACAACCAGATTGAGGCATCGGCCTATCTACGGTGCTCTTTCGAGTCCAAATGCACCTAAAAGGGTCTGCTTCTACTGATTATTCAAATCGACTGAAGTTGAGGCGAGTTAGTGCAAAAGACGCAGTCATTTCTCTAGTTTCCGCTGGTTTCTGCAGGTTCCACAGTTTAGTCTCACCCCAAAGCTTAATGCAGTCATAAAAAAGCATACCACGCGATCCTCAAAGTATGGTGAGAATACCATGTCCATTCTTAGAAGAACCTTAGTAGAAGTATGGGCGACAACAAAATTGGTGGACGGGTGGGCCGCGAGGAGAGAGTGATGTCTGTCACTCACGATCAAGCAAAACAACTGAAAGTGCCTATAAAACAATGAGCCTGGATGACATGTTGTACCGTGGAGTTTTTACCAACATAAAACACTAAAAAAGACCACAGCAGAGCACAATTGTATGTCGAGAAAGCTGCCATACGAATAAACAGCAAAAAGTGAAATGTCTGTAATTCCCGTCGATAGTTTAAAGGGGCCTCCGAGAAACAGAAATTTCGATTGCCTTATCATGAAAGAGATGACAAACCTACCCCAACTTGATTCTTCGAAAGATCGGCTTCTTCAGCTGCTCGGGCTATCTGTTCTTGGTGCTGCTGGCCAGTACCGATCATTCCATTTTCAAAATATCGCTTAAGTATATTTCTCTGAACGTCCGTTAAGAGGGTATATCTTTGTGCACGCGGTTTTACGACTTTGCTTGCCATGATAACGTCGGTCCACAGTGCAACACTTCATTCCGCCATGATGATTTTCTTTCGCCTCATTCTAATCTAAACGATGATTGGTCAGAATCAGGATAATAGGAGCCTTTGTCATGTTAGCTGGCACGGATGATCATCTTACCTGGCTATCACCCGTAATTCTAAATTTAGAAAATATGGGTTTGACCCATTTAGAATCCGAGATACGGGTGATTTCTGTGGTTATTTCAGCGTTCTCTTGCATAAAAAATTTTTGTCTCTCTTCGTCGTCAGCAAGCTCAAATTCAACAAGAACAACCATACGGAGCACGCCAGAATCAACTAAATATAGCGCGATACAAGAAAACAGTGTACACCATAGCATGGGTGCAGTTAGCTTTACTTGTTTGTTATGCTCCATACGGCATAGCATTGTTAATAGGTCTGGCTATTAACATACCCCATCCTTCCACCGACATAAAAGTCGCTTGGCGAGCATTATTAACTCTCCTATTTTCGAACTCTTCTTTCAACCCAGTACTTTATTGTTGGAAGATAAGAGATGTGCGACAAGAAGTGAAGAACATTTTCCACAAAGTTTGCTGTTGCTCTTATTAAAAGTTTAGGGTTACGGAGGCTGTTATCCTCTTCGATCTGCATAATTCTTTGCATCATACTCATTCTCATTCAATAATTGTTGAATATTTTACCGTGATCATTCAATAATTGTAAAACATTTTACCGTGATCATAATGACCCCCAATAAAGTAGTAGTCATTCAGGAACTCCTCAGAGCTAATGTATTCATTGAATTGCTCAGCCAATTATTTCAACAAAGGCAGTTGTATAGCAAATCAAAAAGTCAAACCTCCTTTAGGGTGCACGTTTTTAGACCAATGACTATTTCAAAAGTGTTTGAAAACAGTTCAAACGCGACTGGATCGAATAAACACGGAATCCCTTTTAATAAATAAAGGTTTTTGTTATGATTTTTTAACACTGAAAACGTGACTTCCTTTTCAGCTTAGAGGGAGACCTAATTGTTATCTAATCTCAAGTCACTGTTTATACTGCCCTGAGTTGTTTTTTTAAAACACTGACCCGGTCTGAACAAAAAACTTTATCACCATCATATTCAACGTAACAAAAGTGCGTTCTTGGCTAACCCTGATTGCACATTGTTTTGTGAAACTATATTCCGATAGGAATGAAATTTGACATTTCAGTCAGAATCATTTGCATGGAAAAGAATCGTATTGTAACTGAGAGGAAAAATTATAGATTTGTTTTTTTGATGTTTTGCGAATCCTCAGACAGCTTCTGCATAAGAGGGCCAATATGGACTTTTCTCCGAACAAAAGGAATATAACTGCTCTAAAACCCTCTTTAGCAAACACCGGATCACAGAGCGGACAATTGCAACCAATTAATAGTTTTTATCAATGTTTATTTTTCCAAACTCATTCAAAAGACTCTAGACGAGGGATTAATTTGTTTGACTTTTAGACTATCGACTAGCTTTTTGGTCTGTGGCAAATACATCACCAGATTATATCAATTTATATCAATTTAATATTTGCTCTTTCAAACCGTAGTTTGCACCCAACTTATTTTATAATTTATTCACAAAAAGAAATGCATAGATTGATCCCGATGAATTAAATCCCGGCAGATACACGTATTTGATAGTGAAATTGTATGCCATGTTTAAACAGAAGACCCTGAGAATCATATCCTGCTGTTCAACGGCAAATATGCGTGCCAAATAAGGGAGTACCACCACTGCTGAAAACACATAGTTTAAAGACAACCGCATAAAATAAATACATCACAAAACAACAGAGTTAAGCTGGCTCGACTGGATTTTTTGGGGTTGATACCTCCCAACTTTGAGCATTAACGACGTCGGCATGAGTAAAGATATGGAAAAAAGGTTACCACAACTGTATTATATAAAGATGAAAATTTCTTATGAGCTGGTTTTTATTGCAATCGGAGTCGCCATGGCAACGTAATGACGCCATTACGTTTTTCATTTATCTTTGTGTTTCTCTGTTCCAGGAGTTTTTTGAAGAAATCGCTTAAGGGAGTATGTACCTGCTATAATTTCCTCCATTATGGCATAGTTTGAACAAATTCTATGATAGCGTTTTCGAAATATTCTGAAATGTAGTTTTAAGAATAATAAAAACAGTGAAATAGCATGCTGCCTACACAATTCGCTAATATTTTAAGAAAATGACAAGCTTTGGGAACGAGGCTTCATCTCACAGTGGTTTGATTCCATTGAAAACTGCATACGAAAAAAGAGCGGAATTACTCTAGGTGATCGCGAGTAAGAAGAATTTTATTAACTTGCATTTAGCTGTTTTTGATACAGTTTTTGGACGTAATTTAGTCAATGCCTAAAAATTTCGCATTTTTCCAAAAACCGCTCGATAAATTTTTTTATAAATTCGATAATCCCGAGATCAATCGTCAAGAAATATTCCCTGCAAGTTTTAAGAACATTGAAAACAGGGAAGGCTTTTAAATAGGGCCTCAGATATAGCCAATTTTCCCTCCAGATTTTGTGTTTACAAGTGAGCGTCCTCATTATTCACTGGCATTGTTTTCAAGTTTCATATGCACGTGAACAACTAGCAAAAGATATAAATTTGCATCAAAAAGAACTCTCGATTACTTTCCGAAGAAATATCCGGAATACGCTCTAGTTTTCTTTCTCCCCAGCCCCCCTACGACACAAAGGGGCCTCTCTGCGGAGGACAGAGGTTGGTCACTATGAACCGCAAACAAAGAATAAACGTTTCAAGCCATTAAAAATTGTCTTACTATCAGAAAATCAATAAAGCAGTCCTGGAAAAAATATAAGCAAAAGTATTTTGATAAAATAACTGCAATGAATAGCATTAACGAAGCGAAAGTTGGCTTCCTTGCGTGCAGACGGAGACACAGTTATTAGTAATTCAAGCCATTCAATATCACCTGTCCATATCTGCTCATATCGTTTATACACGACAGTATTTATTAACCCAATAAGGTGGTTGTCATTTCGTAGTTTTATATTATATTCGGGCTGGGGGTTCGAGCTTTGAATTTCCAATTACACAATTTTTCAAACAAAGAAAGTTTTCTTATAAATCCAACAGTCGGTGCGCAAACTGAGCTCCTTAAGTTTGGCTCCTAGACCAAGAAAAATCAACAAGATAACATTTCGGTTCAAAGAGGACGAGACGTTTACCTTTCAGACGGCCGGACAAAGACACCAACACTGCGAAAAATTTATAGGTCACCACCATTTGACGATAAAAGTGTTTTCAGGAAGTGAAAAAAAAAAAACATTATTTCTTTTCCATAATTCATCTGTACGCACGGGGGTAAAGTATGTGCGAATATGGGAGCTAGGGTAACGCTCCTGAGGAAGACTGGTTGTAGTAAAATCATGCAGTCTTTTTCAATTAAGAATTGCATTTCTTGTTACAATATCCTTTTCCTCATAACACGAATTTATTAAACGTCACAGCCGTCCTGCTCAACTCAGAACAATTAAAAACAACCTGTTACGGTTGTCATACTCTGTTTACTTAGGAACTGTTTATACTGACTTGCAGTTCCTGTGTGTTGCTTCCCGAAGCAGTTTCAGAAGGAATTCTCTCCGTATATTGAACATATCAGAAGTTTCTTTAAAACAAGTTAATGTACTGATTAAGACATGGCAAACTCAAATGAAAACAGCACAACTGCGACTCAAGTAACATCATGGAATGCTCGTTCAACAAGCTTCGCAAGTCTTGCAGGCCTTAATATTTTTCTCGCCATCACCGCATCTCTTGGCAACGCTCTGATCTTGATTGCTCTTCATAAAGTGACGTCCATTTATCCACCAACAAAACTGTTATTTCGATGCCTGGCAGTCACCGATCTTTTAGTTGGACTTATCTCTCAGCCATTATATGTAACTACTTTCTTTCCCGAGTTTACAGCTTGGAATGTGAATGTCACAATTCTTCTTACAGACGAGTTTTTCTTTCGTCTGCTTACTGCAGTATCACTCCTTACATCAGCCTCCATCAGTGTGGACAGACTTCTTGCCCTGTTGTTAGGGCTTAGATACAGACACACTGTAACATTAAGGCGAGTTTGGGTGGTCATACTTTGTTTTTGGTTGATCAGTGCTCTTCAAGCTACAAGCGGTATAATACTCTTTAAACATCCAAAACTACCTGAAATTGTCTTTTGGATATTCTGTGCGCTATTAACACTTTCCTTGCTAGTCTCAGTATTCTCTTACGCGAAGATATTTAAAACCCTTCGTCATCGCAATACGCAACAAGGGCAGCCAAATGGACTAAATGAAGGAGGGAATCAACTGAACACAGCTCGATACAAGAAGACAGTGTATAGCATAGCATGGGTGCAGTTAGCTTTACTTATTTGTTATTTTCCATATAACTTATTAGGGCTTTTAAGGTTGTTCGATAACGTATCACATTCGACCGAAATGTATATTCTTTGGGAATCATTCGTGACTCTCCTTTATTTGAATTCTTCTTTAAACCCAGCACTTTATTGTTGGAGGATCAGACATGTGAATCAAGAAGTGAAAAACATGATCCGCAAGATTTTCTGCTGCTTTTAAAGTTAATAATTATAAAAAAGGAACTGATAAAGAGAGCTCATTTTGCTGCGGATAACAGAGCCTCTATATCTTTTGGAACCCCATACAACGTTAGAAAAATAATATCTCAAGTAATTAAAACAGAAATTGAAGGGGATGATTTTTGAATTCAAATGTCTAGAAAATTGATGATTTTCACCAGTGGTCATGTTAAGAATGAAAAACAAATAAAAATACTTAATGTCGGCCACTTTTATATGGTATTTTTAACTCTTTTTTGTTTATGTCTTTGCTTAAAAATCTCATTTTTGCTCGCCGTTTAAGAAGGAAAAAATTGTTGTCTTCTAGCTGCCACATAACTCATCGTCTTGGAAGGTTGCGTTCTTCGAGAGAAGTCGAAATAAATTCGGGGAGATGAGCCCGCACTTAACAAGGAACCCTAGCAGGGGTACCCTAATCATACACAATTCAAATTTTCAGACCCAGGGACGAGAACTAAGGCATCCATCTGGTGGAAGAGATAGGAATTGAGGCAATGGAGCAATTAATGCACACAGGCTATACCCATCATCGTGGATGATCAAGGATAAACTACGCCTGAATGATAATAAGACGGAGTTCATGATTATAGGCACCAGAAAGCAACTGGCTAAAGTGAACGTTGATGGTCTTAGTGTCGGTGAGAGCATTATAGCTACCGTAACTTCAGTTAGGAACTTAGGATCATGGTTTGACCAGAACCTGAGTGTGATACCACACATTATAATAACAGGGGCACCCAACGTCAATTTTCGGAAAATATCTGTTCGGAAGACGATTGGAGATCTAGAATTTTCGGAACATTTATTGTAAAATTCCTTGCTTGCCTGCCTCTCCTAAGATTTTCGAACATCTAAAAAATGGTACAATTGCCCATTTTTAATGGATTTTTATCCCAAAAAGGTGACCTAGAATTTTCGGGAGCCTTTTTCTGGCTGAAATTTTCAAAAAGGTAAGTTTTGATCCCTATAATTTTCGGATCACTAGACTTTCAGCTAGGGAATCCGAACAGATGAAAAATTTTTAGGGGATAAAAATATGCCTATATCTACAGTTTAAATACTAAGATACGTTCAACAATTCTATGTTTAAGTGGTTTTGAACTATATTCTCGTTGGGTGCCCCTGTAATAAGATCTGTAAAGCTGAGTCTTTTCATATTTACAATTAATATAAGGCGGATCAGAAAGTACCTCAACGATGATGCCACACAAACGCTTGTTCACTCCATTGTTATAGGCCGCTTAGATTACTGTAATAGTCTTCTTTATAAAGTTCCCGAGGTACACATGAGTAGCACATGAGTAAGTTACAATGCATTCAAAATAGTGCTGCCCGGCTCGTATGCTCAACTCCGAGGTTTAATCATGTTACACCTGTCTTATTTTCTTTGCATTGGCTACCCGTTGCCTACCGTATCGAGTTTAAAATCTTAGTTTTAACGTTTAAAGCAATATATCAACTTGTGCCGTCCTATATCTGCAATCTAGTTCGATTAAAGGAGAAATGTAAATACCAGCTTCGTTCTTCTGAGAACTACTATTGCAGTTGCCCATGGGAAAAACAAAGAAAACTCTGGGTGACAGATCATTCCAAATAGCTGCCCCTGCACTGTGGAACAGTCTGCCTGCAAGTATCAGAGACATCGATAACTTTTTGTTTTTTAAACGAACAATTATAAAGACTTACTTATTTAGGAAGACTTTTGCTTGTTATAGTTAGATCAATAAATTTTACAGGTAGTTATAGTTGTAAGGCGCTACTGATCATAATCAGATGTTAATTTGCACCTAATAAGAAATAGATTATTATTATTATGATTAATACTTCTCCAGAGATAGCATAAAGTCAGTTTAATATGATATTTCAGTTGCCAGTTATCAAAAACAATGACTACATTTAAAAGATGGAAAACTATTACCCTTCATTCAAAAATATCTTTGTTTTGAAGAAAATTTTCCCGTCCCCGCTTGACACACTTTTCTGCACAGGACTTCGCGACTCCCTCTAAGAAATGTAGGTATTTTTTTAATACTAAAGTTGTATTTTACATCCAGTAAGCAGGAGTTAAGGTGGCTCCGTAATTAATACAAGAGCATTTAGCTGTGACAAATTTTCCGTCAAAACTTTTTCGATTTTAACGCGATGGCTGCGAAACTTTGCAAAGAACAACAGATATCATTCGGAAATAATACGGAGTATTCCGATTTCATTGATGGTAAATATTTCTTGAGAAATTAGCGCTTAAAAGGACCCTAATGTTCAAAGAAAATCGCGTCTAGTAAAAAATTTTGCTGCTATTTTTTTCTGAAATTTCTGGTATCGGCTTTAATTGATATAATAAATATGCCAGAGGAATTTCAGAAAAACCGTTGGAGCAGAAGTCCGTAACTAAAAGTCGCTCAAAATTCAGCTGTGAAATTGTTTTGGAATTTCAAAAATAAATTACTATCAGGAAGAAGGAGACACCAGTTTGAATTTTCGGTACAAGTAAATTCAATGCTTGCTATTTCTGAAAACAAAAGGTGATTGCCTATCGTTCTATTCTTTAAAAGGTACTTTTCAGTTTTAGAAGCACTATAAATTGCTCCACACCTTGCTCTGACGTCGAATGACTTGTTCCTCGACATTTTTAAAATATCCCTTGGCAGTTTTGGTTCACACTCCTGCTACTGTATTGCAATGCATCCTCAACGGCTTTTCCTGCTGTACGTTGTTTCCAATTCAGGAAAAAGGTATTGGGATTGTAAGCTACCTTGTATCGAAGCTCAGATAGAACTGTCCAGCACCTTTGTTTACGACTAGAAAATGAGCACGAGCGGCAGCTCTGCGAGGAATTCGCACCTTAGCCAGGGGGGACGAATGACAATGATGCCCATGTCTGTGAACCGATCTGTATAAACATGTATTGCAGAGCAAAACATAATAATCAAGAAAAAAATACCCGTTCATTGAAGGAAGAAGTGACAAAAATTTCAGAGTTGTAAATTTATTCACGGGCAGTATTTTTGCGATAATTTTATTTTGCACTGTGATGTTATTCGGTTCACAGGCATGGTCATCATTAACTATCATTGTCGTTCGTCCCCCCTGGGTGAGGTGCGAATTCCTCGCAGAACAGCCGCTCGTGCTCATTTTGTAGTCATAAACAAAGGTGCTGGACAGTTCTATCTGAGTTCTGATACGAGGTAGCGTCCAATCTCAATACTTTTTTCCTGAGTTGGAAGTAACGAACAGCAGTAAAAGTCGTTGAAAATGCATTGCAATACATCAAAACGTATGCAGCAGGAGTTTGAGCCAAAACTGCAAAGGGATATTTTAAAAATGTCGAAGAACAAGTCATTCTACTTCAGAGCAAGGTTTGGAGCAATTTATGGTGCTTCTAAAACTTAAAAGTACCTTTTTAAGAATAGCACGATAGGCAATCGGCTTTTGTTTTAAGAATTAGCAAACGTTGAATTTACTTGTCCCGAAAATTCAAACTGGTGGCTTCTTCTTCCTGATAGTAATTTATTTTTGAAATTCCAAAACAATTTCACAGCTGAATTTTGAGCGACTTTTAGTTATGGACTTCTGCTCCAACGATTTTTCTGAAATTCCTCTGGCATATTTATTATATCAATTAAAGCCGAGACCAGAAATTTCAGTAAAAAATATCAGCAAATTTTTTTACTAGACGCGATTTTCTTCGAACAGTAGGGTCCTTTTAAACGCTAATTTCTCAAGAAATATTTACCATCAATGAAATTGGAATATTTCGTATTATTGCCGAATGATATCTGTTGTTCTTTGCAAAGTTTCGCAGCCATCGCGTTAAGAACCAAAAAGTTATGACGGAAAATTTGTCACAGCAAAATGCTCTAGTATTAATTACGGAGCCACCTTAAAGACTCCGACATTATCACCCACTTTCTGTGACTTCTGTAAGGGTCCGGTCCTAAAGTGCAGACACATAGTTTTCTTTATTAAAAAATTTGTACTGAGAGCTGTTTTTGAAGATATCCTTATTGCCGTGGTTTACCTAGCTTTTTAATCTTTTTCTAAAGTTCCCATAGGCTGTTGCAGGATTTGCGCGCGGAGTGACTCGGTGCACGGAGCTGCCTGACAAAGTATCTAAACAAAGCAGGAGCAGGCTGCAAAGACAAGACAACTACACTCCTCACAACTATAAACACTGACACCGTGCGTCAATGGGCAAAAGCCTCTTTTCTCGCCTAGCTCTTCCGGGACGTTCACCACGAAAGACTTGTAAACGCAGCCTTTAATACACTAGAGAATGTTCATGTACGAAAGCATAACCCAGAGAATTTCTCTTCAAGCTTCCTGCAAAATTATTGGAAAGACATAGCTAAATGATAATTAATAATTTTTTGTATCTATCTTTTTATTGTTTCATAATTCAACCCTTGGAACAAATGCATACGCTTAAATGGATGGTCACATGTGCCACTCCGGAAAACCTATTAAGAATAAATTAATTTTTCCGAATATGAGAACATGAATCAAGCAGTCTCGAAAGCATTCGAAGATGTAATAATTATCATTTGTGAGAAGAAAGAATGAAATAGGCTTCCTTATATGCAGAAACAACAATTTTGAAAAAAATCAAAGCCACTTAACAATTAATATCGCCTGCCCACGTCCGTCTTTAAAATAAACCGCAGTATTTTATTTCATAATTTACACAATAAGGTAGTCGTGGTCATTCAGTTGTTGCTAATTTAGCCTCAAAGCTCCTTGTTTAGACATTCATTCAAACAAGAAAAGTTATAGAGTGTTTTCACTCACGTGGCCAGCATCTATGCAAATTTATTGAAACAAAAGAAAGCGTTTGCATAAGAAAGGAGTTCAACTCCCACAGGACTGGTTTGGGACACCAACATGGCCGCCTTTTCATTGTTTTGGGACACCAATATGGCCGTCGTGACGTCATGCGAAAACACTCTATAGTTTTAATTCGAACAGTCTCACCTGTTTAGAATATCCGGATACGGGTGGACGGGGCATAAATAGTGAATAAGACTCGAGACCAGGAGCCCGGCGATTGAAAACCATAACCTGTTCAGTAGCATATCTCCTTTTAGGCTAAATAAGGAAGAACCACCACTACTGAAAACACAAAAATACATCACAAAAAAACGAGACCTTTTACAACTGTTCGAATACAGGAGCGTAGCCAGCCCATAGACATGTTGGTCCGGGCCTACAAATTTTTGGTTTGATCACCCTACCGCTTGTAATGAATTATGCGTTGTTGGGGTGAACTAAAAAGCGTAAGAGCTCAAAGTGTTGGTGAGGTCAGGTCGTACTAGCCATGAGTGCAATTTTCAGGATATGTGGCGGGAAATTATAGCTTTTTAATTATAGCTTTTTAATTGACTTATTTATTTTATTTATTTATTTATTTTATTCAATTGTATATTTATTTAAGTGACCTTTAATAATAATGTACATATTTTTTACGATAGCTTTTAACTGATTTATTTTATCTGAAAAAAAACAACAACAAATTTTATTGAAAATTGGAAAATAACTAATTACATTAATTTCCCACCCGCAAATAGCTTATAAGCTAATCGAGGTGGGGGGAGCTGAAGACATATTACAAAACAAGATTTATATATAGATGGACTAAATAACAGTGAAGACACTACTATACAGTAAATAGAATTTAAACGAACATAAAACAAGGCAAGTACATAACGATTACGAAGAGAGGCTAACCTAAAGTATTAAATAACTTAATAAGACGGGAGACTTCGACATAATCATCTTCTGACCGCAAGAAATTTAGTAATAATTCCTTTATTTTCTTACGAAAGGACGAACGTTTAAGTATTTTAATCGAATAAGGAATAGAGTTCCAAATTTGGGCACCGATTCTCGTGAAAAAGGCATACATTTTATCGGTTCTAGAGAACTTAACATAAAACGAGTCGCTAGAGACAGATCTTGTTCTGTAGTTATGAATCTGACTTGTTTTAACGAACTGATTGAGTATACTAACTGGTGCTGTCTGTCTGTTGATATCGTACAATAAATAGCTACAATCTCTGAAAAATAGGCTAGGCAGGGGAAGGCAATTTGATTTGAGAAAGAAGGACCCTATTGTGTACCTCCCCCGTCTCAGCGTATAAAAGGCGGTCGAGACGAAAACGTAAGCACACTGCCGTATCATGAATTATAAGTGTGTCTGCATCATTAGTTTCATTTTTTCCAAGTTTAGATCCACAGGGCAAAACCATTGTTTCATGATCAACTGAAGAGAAGATTCCACGCGCTTGTAACTCCATGTTCCGGCAATATTTTTTCTGTTCTACCACACTCAAGGCGTTAAAGTCACTCCTGATCTCTGCTTTGACATTTTGAACCTTAAGCTAATTGATTTTCAAAGAGCGAAGGGGTTAAAGTAAACGCGAACTTGAAATAGCGACTCGTAGTTTGTACAAGTACAATATGTGGAAGACAACGGATGTCGGAACTATGGTTTGTTTATAAGGTCATCAAAAATCACCTGAAACTACGCGTGAAATCTGACGCTCAGAGGGTGGATTGCCAGACCTATAAACAATGCGTATGCTATGCTTTAAGGAGCATAGCAAACAAGTCAAACAAGTAAAAGCAACTACACCTATTATATGCTATACTGACTGTACAGTCAGTTTCTGCATCGTGCTATGAAGTGTATCACTGCACACAAAATCTTATATCAAATTTTCCATCACCCTCACCCAGATGAAACCCTAAATCTCGTCCCTAAATCTGTGAACTGTGTAAGGTTAGGGTACCCCTGGTGGGTTCTAGTTGACTATACTTAATCATCCCTCAACTCCCCAGCTTTTTTCCGCCTTCTCACTGATGAACTTGTCCTGATTCGGGGTTTGTATTGTGTAAAAACTGAAAACAATTTTTTTTTCTTCTTAAACCATCCAAAACTTCAAGGTGATTTTAAGTAAAGGCCTACAAAAATACTAGTCAAAATAAGGTATAAAATGGCCACAAGAGCCATAATGGCTCTTGGTGGCCAACATTAGGCAATTTTATTTGATTCCATTTTTAGCCGGCGCAAAAGCTATCCTGTATAGTGTAAACATAGCATTAATTTCATCATTATATCGTAAATCCAGCCAATAAGTAGGGGCAGCAAACGACTGATTGCTGTAAAATATCTATTCGGAGAAGTAAAAATTCCCTGGACTTTTCTACAGCTTGAGGATGACCAAAAATTTCTAGGTGATCGCCCCTTTCATGTACAATTTTCGAAGCTTATCCAATAAATTACCTACGATTTTCTTTAGTTTAATTTTTCTGCATTTCACTTCCCAGGTTATGCTATTTTTCGTAGAAAAAGCAAGCCCAAAACTTTTTAGTACTCAAAATTGTTATGGACAGAGGAATCAGAAAATTCTCACTTTCGTAAAACTTTATATTGCATCTAAACTTTTCGGGAAAGTAATTCTGAAGCCCTTTTAAATTCGAAAAGACTCAAGTTACCCTAGTATGACCGAAAAGATATCAATTTTATATTAATTGTATAGCTCCGCTTAAAATGTATTTCGAGAGGCTTAAAAGTACTCGAATTAGTCTAAAAAGTGTTTTCAGTGCATTTAGGAGGAAACCATCAAAGAGTGCCCATGACGCATGGAATGCTCAGATTCAACGCTAATTAATTTTTGGTCGCCAATTAAAGATCTGCGGCATATTAAATGCGGCATTTTAATTTCTTCTGGGAGCCTGGTTGTCCATTGAATAAACTGCTTTTTTGTTCAATAGTCTCATCATTTCACACCTGCATGTAAATTTGAAACCTGAAGGTTTGAAAAACATCTATAGGATACATATTTAGTGGTTATTTTATTTTCTTTCATAACTTTTCTTTTTTTGACCTTGATCGTAATAAGTATTTTATAGTTATTTTTTGTTTATTCATTTGAGGGCGGTGGGTTTGACTTAATGAAACCAGAAAGTCGGATCAACCAATTTATAGCAAAATTGAAAGCAAAAACCAATAAATCATGATATGACTAGAGGAAATTAAAAATATTGATAAAATAAAGGGCGTAGTAGTTAACAGCTGCCACATATATTTTTTATCATTTATCGACACTCAAACAAAAGAGTTGTTTTATTGTTAATTTAGCCTTGAGAGTCAGTTTTTAAATGATTCACAAAAATATCGGCGTCATATGTTATTGGGAAACTGGCTCAGCTTTTAAAACTACTTTTCTATTTCTTTATGCCCAGCAGAATTGGAGGAGTTCCTTCAGATCTACTTCTCGGCAGTTGTTTGGTGTTCAAAAGACGAACTTTTAGTTCACATTTATGTAATCCGACTGGCAGGCTTATTATTTTAAACATATTTCTTCCACTTAGCGTCGTGAAAAGCTTGCTTTCCATTAGAGTCAGTAATGATTGTCTCAATAATTATAGTTGCCATTAAGGAAACAGATGGAAAATTGCTCTTCTCAGTTCTAAGATAAGTCACTTTTTGCTTTAGAGGTTTAAAACGTGAAAGAAATTCCATGGTTTTTCATACATTAAAAGGACTCCATGGATTTTTTTGTTTTTGTTTTTAATTTATACTCTGTTGAATTAGTTATTGATATGCAACAGGAGATATTAATTGATAAGGGGCTTGAATTTTTTAATGGGTATGTTGTTTTTTTCTTTTTTACAGAGCTATAGTTGAATCTATTTTCAGTCTCACAATTTTAGTATTACAGTAAAGAGTTTCTTTCGTCCATAGCCACTGCAGTCATATTTTTAAATAGCTTCGAATGCTTTCTAGAGTATTGGTTAATTTTCTTATACTGTATTGAAAAAAATTGAATTGATTGAAGGATTCAGTCTAGTAGGTGTTACCTCCAGGGGGGGGGGTATTTAACAAACTTTTAGACAGGGAGGCTCCGCCCAGAGGTCCAACCCCTTACAGTTTTATTTTTGCCTGAAAAGGTACTCCTTTTGTTTATCTTCCATCGACAAATGGCACCCGTTTCACATCCCTTGCTTAGAACTTTGCATCCCAAGATACATGTATGAATAAATCTGCCTCGTCCACACGGGCTTTTCCAAGGCGCTGTGGTGAGCACTTAGCGTGTAAAAAGAAGAAAGGGAGAAACAACAAGCTAGAAGCACGAGATTGGAATGATGGGAACGAAGGCAGAGCGCGAACAGAGAGTGAAGCCGGAGAAGAAAAAAAAGAGAAGTTAGGGTTAGCGTTAACACTCAAGAAGTAGAGTGAAACACTCGACTGCGTCTCGTGTTTCCCCTTACACTTCTTTCATGCTCTAGCCCGCCTCCTGCGTGTTTACAACAGAACAGAGCACAGTCAAAGTTTCTTTATTTGCTAATTTTCACGTACTTTGTCCGAAAGTTTTGTGAACGTTTTTTCTGCTCTCGACTCCCTACATAATCAAATTCTGGAACACCATAGGAGAACTTATAACAAGTTCAAATAGCTGGGTAAACGATAACTATAACAAACACAACTACGCTTGCAATTCGATTTGTCTTAATGTTTGATGTTTTAACACTCTGAGACCAGACTTTTTCCGAGGTCTCGGGTGGTGCTGTTTGGAAATAAAAATCTTGTATCAAATTGTCAGACTACCACCAGATGGATGCCATACATCTCTTTCCTAGATCTGTAAGTTTGAACTGCGTAAGATTAGGGTACCCCTTGTGGGTGCTTGTTGACATATATAATCCGTCACCTCCCCAGCTTTTTTCGGCCTTCTTACTGATGAACTAAACCTTCCTAGTTTGCCCTGATTGGAAGTTGTATTGTGCAAAAGTTGAAAAACAACAAATTTTTTTCATCGTAAACCATAAAAAAGGTGATTTTTAGGTAAAGGTCTACAGAAAAAACGAGTGAAATATGGTATAAAAGTGACCAACATTAAGCATTTTTATTTGTTGTTAATTTTTAACAGGTGAAAATCATCAATTTCTAGACACAGGAATTAACAAATCATACTCTTTAATTTCTTTTTTAATTGCTTAAGATATTTTCTAACTTTGTATGGGTCTCAAAAGATATGCAGGCTCTGACATCTGCAGAAAAACGAGCTTACTTTAACAGTTCCTTTTTTTATAGTTATTCATTTTAAAAGCAGCGGAAAATCTTGCGGATGATGTTCTTCACTTCTTGTCTCACATCTTTGATCCTCCAACAATAAAGTGCTGGGTTTAAAGAAGAATTTACATAAAGGAGAGTCACGAATAATTCCAAAAGAATAGATATTTCGGTCGAGAGTAGTTTATCAAGCATTCCTAAAAGACTTAAAAACCGTAATACGATATATGGAATACAGCAAATAAGTAAAGCTAACTGGACCCATGCTATGCTGTGCACTGTCTTCTTGTATCGAGCTATGTTCAGTTGATTCCCTCCTCCATTTGGCCGCTGTTTTTGTTGAGTATTGCAATGAACCTGAACTTGTCGATAACGAAGGGTTATAAATATCTTCGCGTAAGAGAATACTGAGACTAGCAAGGAAAGCATTAATAAAGGACCGAATAACGTATTGGCTATAGTATCTAGTTGGGGACATTCAACTGAACATGTGCTACCTGTAGCCTGAAGAGCACTAATCAACCAAAAACAAACTAGGACCACCCAAACTCGCCTTGATGTTACAGTGTGTCTGTATCTCAGCCCTAACAACAGGGCAAGAAGTCTGTCCACACTGATGGCAGCTGATGTAAGGATTGATACTGCAGGAAGCAGAGAAAAGAAAAACTCGTCTGTAAGCGTGATTGCTAAAATAAAGAGCGTAGTAGTTAACAGGTGCCATATATATACATTTTTATTGTTTATCAACATTCAAACAAAAAAGTTGTTTTATTGTTAATTTAGCCTTATAAGAGTCAGTTTTTAAATGATTCACAAAAATGTCGGAATCATATGTTATTGGGAAACTGGCTTAGCTTTTAAAACTAATTTCTTTGTCCAGCAGATTTGGAGGAGTTCTTTCAGATCTACTTCTCGGCAGTTGTTTGGTGTTCTAACGACGAAGTTTTAGTTCACATTTATGTAATCCGACTGGCAGGCTTATTATTTTAAACATATTTCCTCCACTTAGCGTCGTGAAAAGCTTGCTTTCCATTAGAGTCAGTGATGATTGTCTCAATAATTATTGTTACCATTAAGGAAACAGATGGAAAATTGCTCTTCTTAGTTCTAAGATAAGTCACTTTTTGCTTTAGAGGTTTAAAACGTAAAAGAAATTTCATGTTTTTTCATAAATTAAAAGGACTCCATGGATTTGTTGTTTTTGTTTTTATACTCTGTTGAACTAGTTATTGGTTGCTAATACTTCCTTTTTATTGTTTGAATAAGTATCTTAGTAATTACATGCAGTAGTTCAGAGTCTCTATTAGACAACAACTTAGTGATTATTACCTTATTGCCTTAACGATGGCATGGTAGACACTGCGGTTCATATCAAAGGCGGAGGTGGGCAGGAGATATTAATTGATAAGGGGCTTAAGGAATTTTTTAATGGGTATGTTGTTTTTCTTCTTTTTTACATAGCTTTAGGGGAACCTAGTTTCATTCTCACAATTTTAGTATTACAACTTCTTTCGTCCGTAGCCACTGCAGTCATATTTTCAAATAGCTTCGAATGCTTTCTAGAGTGTTGATTAATTTTCTTATACTGTAGTGAAAAAATTTGAGTTGATTGAAGGGTTCACTCTGGTAGGTGTTACCTCCGGCGGGGGTACTGAACAAAAGTTTTATACAGGGAGGTTCCGCCCTGAGGTCCAGCCCCTTACCGTTTTATATACCATTTTTGCCAGAAAACGTACTCCTTGCGAATATCTTCCATCCCACCATCCATGTATGAATAGTTCTGCCTCCTCCACACAGCCTTTTCCAAGGCGCTGTGGTGAGCAGTTAACGAGCCAAAAAGAAGAAAGCGAGAAACAACAAGCGAGAAGCGCGGCGAGAAGGGAATGATGGGAACCAGGGCGGATAAAGGTTGGGAAATGAAACGAGCGCGTGTGATGCAGTGGACTGGGACTCTGTCTAGAAATGCCGCCTGTTTTCGACTTCGGTTAGGGCGATGTGGTTAAATTGTTCTTTAGACACTGCCGCTGTCACTGAATTATGGCGGCTCGAGTTGTTTTCTTGCACTTCTTCATCGTTCCTTTCTGCTGGTACGTTGTCTCTAAGAGGCAAATGTTGCTAATTTTTTGTGGGAGGTTTAGTTGGAGTAAACAAACATCTCTTTCAAATGGTTTCTCTGGTTACTTCCATGACTCTACCACTGAATTATATTTTCGTTATATTACGCCCGTGTCGATGTTATACCAAACCAAAAACAACTAGATACTGTCTAAAACACGAAGGAAAATCTCATCCATGTCATCCATGGCAAAACTAAAAGACAGCAGATGGTTTTTCATAACTAGACTGGACGCATGTATTTTATAAATGCGTGCACCTCGTGCAAGGTGTAATTATGCTAATTTCAATCACCATCATCCTTATTTTAATTTTGAAAAAAACATTTCGCTCGTACGTCTTTCTGTTTCTTCGGAACTTCAAAATTAGTTTCCCCTCAGTGTTTACTGTTTAATTTGTCTTTTTTTAGAGAGAAAAACGGAGGAAAAAACCTTACAATAAACCTCAATAAATTGTGTTTTTATGCGTTTGCCGGATTTGCGACGCATTGCGCGAATCGCCATGGCGCGTTGCTCCCGAGAAGAAATGTTTGAAGTAGTACAACGCCACTATATCAAAATATATCAAGGTAATTTTTTGTTATGTTATGTAAAATTTATCTCCCTTTAACATATGTAAAAATTACGGTTAAGAAGTATTAATTTTTTGCAAACGAAACGGCGAAAGACGATTAGGTCATATTTAGTGGAAGGAGGATTTCAAATTGAACTCAAATTTTGGCATTACACGACCACCAAGTTTGACTTTTAGGCATACAAACATTAACATATCAAACTGTTTATTAATATTGTTATAAAACAAATTTATCTATTGAACATAGTAGCCTGAAATTACAGAAAGAAAATAGGATTTCCGGTTTGCAAAAAGGAGATTTCCCCGGCCTTCAAACGTACCGGAAGCGCGGAAAGAGCGCTCGTGCCAGTCCCAGAGCGGAGCGCTCGTTTCACCGCCCAACCTTTATCAACCCTGATTGGAACGAACGCAGAGCGCGAGCAGGGAGTAATGGGAATTAAGGAAAAATAGAGAAGTTAAAGTGAGGGCTAACACTCAAGAAGTAGAGACAAACACTCCCAAACTGCGTCTCGTGTTTCCCTTTTTCATGCTCTAGCCGCTTCCTGCGTGCTTTACAACAGAACAGAGCACAGTCAAGGCTTCTGTTTTGTTAATTTTCATATACTTTGTCCGACAGTTTTGTGAACGTGTTTTCTGCTCTGGACTCCCTCCACAATCAAATTCTGGAGCACCATACGTGAACGTTTAAAAAACAAGTTCAAATAGCTGCGTAAACGATAACTATAACAAACACAACAACTCTTTCAATTTGTCTTAATGTTTGATGTTTTAACACTCTGAGACCAGACTTTTTCCGTATAGTAGTCTCGGATGGTGGTGTTTGGAAATAGGTGGGGTGGCACTGCAACCTCTCTTTCCCAGTGGAAAGCCCTTTATTTAAAAATAAATTCGTAATCAAGATCTGTGGTCTCGATAATACACAATCGATCTGTCGTTTATTCTAACTTTGTTACCCTGAATTTTGAGAGCGACTGCAATACTTGCGAATAATGTTCTTCACTTCTTGTATTTTTGTACATCTTTATCCTGCCCCACATCGACCGCTCTATTTCGGGTAGTTTAATTGCCAGACCTATAAACAATGCGCATGCTATGCTGTAACTAAAGGAGCATAGCAAACAAGTAAAGCCAACTACACCTATTATATGCTCAGCTATATACTGACTGTTCAGTCTTTCTGTATCGCGCTATGTTCACTGCACCAAAAAATCTTATATCGAATTGTCAGACTAAAAATTCTTATCCATCACCCTCACCAGATGGATGCCCTAAATCTTTTCCCTAGAACTGTAAGTTTGAACTGCGTAAGATTAGGCTTGTTGACATATCATCCCTCACTTCCCCAGCTTTTTCCGGCCTTCTCACTGATGAGCTAAACCTTCTTAGTTTGCCCTGATTTGGGGTTGTATTGTGCGAAAGTTGAAAAACAACAATTTTTTGGTAAACCATAAAAAAGGTGGTTCTTAAGTAAAGGCCTACAGAAAAAAGAGTAAATAAGGTATAAAAGTGGCCAACATTAGGCATTTTTATTTGTTTTTCATTTTTAACAGGTGAAAATCATCAATTTTCTAGACACATGAATTAACAATAAAATCATCCCCTTTCAGAATTTCTGTTTTAATTACTTGAGATATTTTCTAACTTTGTATGGGTCTCAAAAGGTATACAGGCTCTGATACCCGTAGCAAAATGAGCTCACTTTGAGAGTTCCTTTTTTATAGTTATTAATTTCTAAAAGCAGCGGAAAATCTTGCGGATCATGTTCTTCACTTCTTGTCTCACATCTCTGATCCTCCAACAATAAAGTACTGGGTTTAAAAAAGAATTTAAATAAAGGAGAGTCACGAACAATTGCCAAAGAATAAATGTTTCGGTCGAAAGTAGTAGTTTACCAAGCAACCCTAAAAAACTTATCAAGCTAAATGGAAGGTAGCAAACAAGTAAAGCTAACTGGACCCATGCTATGCTGTACACTGTCTTCTTGTATCGAGCTATGTTCAGTTGATTCCCTCCTCCATTTGGCCGCTGTCCTTGTTGAGTATTGCGATGAACCTGAACTTGTCGATAACGAAGGGTTTTAAATATTTTCACGTAAGAGAATACTGAAACTAGCAAGGAAAATGTTAAGAAGGAAGAGAATAACCACAAGGATATTTCGGGTAGTATTGGATGTTCATAGATTATACTAACTGTGGCTTCAAGGGCACTAATCAACCAAACACAAACTATGACCAGCCAAACTCGTCTTAATGTAGCAGTGTGTCTATATCGCAGCCCTAACAACAGAGCGAGAAGTCTGTCCAAACTGATGGCGGCTGATGTAAGGAGTGATACTGCAGGAACCAGAGAAAAGAAAAAATCGTCTGCACGCATAATCATGGTTGCAGTGGTATTCACATTCCATGCTGTATAAAAGCGAAAGAGAAAAGCTACATATAGTGGCTGAGAGATAAGTCCAACTAAAAGATCGGTGACCGCCAGGCATCGAAATAACAGTTTTGTTGGTGGATAAATGGACGTCACTTTATGAAGAGCAATCAGGATCAGAGTGTTGCCAAGAGATGCAGTGATGGCGAAAAAAATATTAAAGCCTGCAAGAACTGCGAAGCTTGTTGAACGAGCATTCCATGATGTTACTTGAGTGGCAGTTGTGCTGTTTTCATATTCAGTTGAGTTTGCCATGTCTTAATCAGTACATTAATTTGTTTCAAAGAAACTACTGATATGTTCAATATACGGAGAGAAGTCCTTCTGAAACTGCTTCGGGAAGCAACACACAGGAACTGCAAGTCAGTATAAACAGTTCCTAAGTAAACAGAGTATGACAACCGTAACGGGTTGTTTTTAATTGTTCTGAGTTGAGCAGGACGGCTGTGACGTTTAATAAATTCGTGTTATGAGGAAAAGGATATTGTAACAAGAAATGCAATTCTTAATTGAAAAAGACTGCATGATTTTACTACAACCAGTCTTCCTCAGGAGCGTTATTCTAGCTGCCATATTCGCACATACTTTACGCCCGTGCGTACAGATTAATTATAGAAAAGAAATAAAGTGTTTTTTTTTTCACTTCCTGAAAACACTTTTATCGTCAAATGGGGGTGACCTATAAATTTTTCGCAGTGTTGGTGTCTTTGTCCGTCTGAAAGATAAACGTCTCATCCTCTTTGAACCGAAATGTTATCTTATTGATTTTTCTTGGTCTAGGAGCCAAACCTAAGGAGCTCAGTTTGCGCACCGACTGTTGGATTTATAAGAAAACTTTCTTTTTGAAATGACAACCACCTTATTGGGTTGATAAATACTGTCGTGTATAAACGATATGGGTAGATATGGACAGGCGACGTTGAATGGCTTGAATTACTGATAACTGTGTCTCTGTCTGCACGCAAGGAAGCCAACTTTCGCTTCGTTAATGCTAATAATAATCCGTTGCCATTGCAGTTATTTTATCAAAATATTTTTGCTTATATTTTTTCCAGGACTGCTTTATTGATTTTCCGGATATTCTTTAATGAACTTTTCGAAATGCTCGTAAAAGTGAACTGAAGACTAAAATCTTTTTTTTTCTTTTCTTGAGAGAATAAAGTTGCGCACATAAAAAAGTCGAATAATTCAGTTCAGCAGGAAAAATTTGTGGATTACAAAGATCGTTAAAACGTATTCTGGGCCGCTTGGGTGAGAATAAGAATGAAAGTCGTTTAGAATAAGAATCAAAGTCGTTTTTAAAATGTGTTGTAGACTCACTTGTCAATTAATTTTGTTAAGGGAATTATGGGACGCATTTTGCGCGCTCTAAAATTAGAAAAAGGTATAAATTACATTCAAAGATCGCACCTTTGAATGTAGGTCGCGCAAATAATACTGAGCTTGTTTTAATAACGGTTTAAGAACGTTCTCTGTAAAGTATTTCTGAAATAATATTTTCTTGTTCAGAGCGCTGAGAAAAAAATTACGATACCATCAAAAGTGAAACGGTTTTCTTGCTCAACCCGCAAAATATGCACTCCTGCGTTGTGTGCCGCAGTAAATCTCACTTGTTAATTTATCATGTCTGGTAGTAGTTACATGTAAGATAAGCAAACAGAAAACGTTTACGCCCCTATGGTTTACTTAACAACGAGCGCCTCGTGGCGAAACTTTCCCCTCAGTACCCCAGTTAAAATAGCATCGCGTCAAGGCATAAAAAACCTCTCTCCTCCCCCCTAATATTACAAATTTGTCACGCCGAAGATTAAACGATCATGCACAGACTGTTCGGTCTGTTTTCGGCAGCAACATCTAGGACAAAAGGGTATTGTTTTGGTGAATTGGACCCGGAACAATAGACCATTTCTTGATACGCAGACAATTTTTAATGGCTTGAAACGTTTATTCTTTGTTTGCGGTCCATAGTGACCAACCTCTCTCCTCCGCAGAGGCCTCTTTGTGTCGTAGGGGGGCTGGGGAGAAAGAAATATAGAGCACGCGGGGCACGATGGGAAGGGGAAAGAGAGAAGAGGTCTCTGTCATTTAACGTGCTATTCTCCCATCGTCCCCCGCGCGCTTTCCATTTTTCGATTACTGCTTTTTTTATTGGGATACCCAGCGGGAGCCTCTGCGGAGGAGAGAGGTGACTTATTAACTCTGTTGTTTTGTGATGTATTTATTTTATGTGGTTGTCTTTAATTAAACTATGTGTTTTCAACAGTGATGGTACTCACTTATTTGGCACGCATAAGACGCTAAAAGGGGATTTGCCTTGGAACAGGGTATGGTTCTCAGTAGTCTGTACACAGCCCTTGTTTTATTTTTCTTTTCGTTCTTTTCGAAAACGTCGGCGAGCGAGAGCGAGGGCGAGCGCGGAGCTCGAGAAAGAAAAATTTCTTCCCCTACCCTACCCCCTTGCGCTGGCGGTCAATAAATCCTCCGCAGTTTATATCACGCGCGCTCGACGGACTTTGAAGACTGAAATAGAGGATCTGTGAACAGGCTGGATTCTCAGGGTCTTCTGTTTTAAACATGGTATACAATTTCACTATCAAACAAGTGTATCTGCCTGGATTTTATTCATCGGAATCAATGTATGCATTTCTTTTTGTCAGGAGCCCGCCATGATGGGCTCCTGTTTTTGTGAATAAATTATAAAATAAGTTGGGTGCAAACTACGGTTTGAAAGAGCAACTATTAAATTGATATGAATTGATATAATTTAGTCATGTATTTGCCACAGACCAAAAAGCTAGTCCATAGACTAAAAGTCAAGCAAATTAATCCCTCGTCTAGAGTCTTTTGAATGAGTTTGGAAAAATAAACAATGATAAAAACTATTAATTGGTTGCAATTGCCCGCTCTTGATCCGGTGTTTTCTATAGAGGGTTTTAGAGCAGTTATTTTCGTTTTCTTCGGAGAAAAGTCCATATTGGCCCTCTTATGCAGAAGCTGTCTGAGGATTCGCAAAACACCAAAAAACAAATCTATAAGTTTTCCTCTCAGTTGCAATACGATTCTTTTCCATGCAAATGATTCTGACTGAAATGTCGAATTTCATTCCTATTGGAATATATTTTCACAAAACATTGTGTAATCAGGGTTAGCAAAGAATGCAGTTTTGTTACGTTGAATATGATGGTGATAAAGTTTTTTGTTCAGACCGGGTCAGTGTTTTAAAAAAACAACTCAGGGCAGTATAAACAGTGACTTGAAATTAGATAACAGTTAGGTCTTCCTCTAAGCTGAAAAGAAAGTCACGTTTTCAGTGTTGAAAAATCATGACAAAAACCTTTATTTATTAAAAAAGATTCCGTGTTTATTCGATCCAGTCGCGTTTGAACTGTTTTCAAACACTTTTGAAATAGTCATTGGTCTAAAAACATGCACCCTAAAGGAGGTTTGACGTTTTGATTTACTATACAACTTCCTTTGTTGGAATAAATGGCTGAGCAATTCAATGAATACATTATTTAGCTCTGAGGAGCTCCTGAATGACTACTACTTTATTGGGGGTCATTATGATCACGGTAAAATATTTTACAATTATTGAATGATCACGGTAAAATATTCAACAATTATTGAATGAGAATGAGTATGATGCAAAGAATTATGCAGATCGAAGAGGATAACAGCCTCCGTAACCCTAAACTTTTAATAAGAGCAACAGCAAACTTCGTGGAAAATGTTCCTCACTTCTTGTCGCACATCTCTAATCTTCCAACAATAAAGTACCGGGTTGAAAGAAGAGTTCGAAAACAGGAGAGTTAATAATGCTCGCCAAGCGACTTTCATTTCGGTGGAAGAATGGGGTATGTTAATAGCCAGACCTATTAATAATGCTATGCCGTATGGAGCATAGCAAACAAGTAAAGCCAACTGCACCCATGCTATGGTGTACACTGTCTTCTTGTATCGCGCTATATTTAGTTGACTCTGGCGTGCTCCGTATGTTTGTTCTTGTTGAATTTGAGCTTGCTGACGACGAAGAGAGACAAAAATGTTTACGTAAGAGAACGCTGAAATAACCACAGAAATTATGACTAAGAAAATGAAGGTCCCTCTAGTAAAGTAATATGCTATCTTATTAACAAAGAATATAACCCCTGTGTAAGTTAGGGCACTTAGTAACCATACACCAACTATGACCGCGCAAACGCGCCTTAATGTCACAGTGTGTCTATATCTCAGCCCTAATGATAGGGCAAGAAGTCTGTCCACACTTATAGCGGATAATGTGAGAACCGATACTAGAGGCAACAAACCACTCCAAGACCCTCGGTATTGCTCAAGCCGGGCTACAATGCGATCCGCGCGACTCTTTGTTATTGAAGAAATAAGAATCATTACGTAAATAGGTTGAGTGTTGAGACCAACTAAAAGATCGGTGACTGCCAGGCATCGAAATAACAGTTTTGTTGGTGGATAAATGGACGTCACTTTATGAAGAGCAATCAGGATCAGAGCATTGCCAAGAGATGCCGTGATGGCGAGAAAAATATTGAGGCCTGCAAGAATTGCCATGCTTGTTGGATAAGCATTCCATGATGTTACTTCAGTCGCGCTTGCGCTGTTTCCATCACCTGAGTTTGCCATGTCTTTACATTTGTTGCAAAGAAAAAATAGGTTGAACATATAATGGAGGAATTCCTTCCAGTTTGAGCACTGAGCTGCTTCGTCGGAACGCAACAGAGGAACTGACGGATAGTCAAACAGTTCCCAAGTACCAGGATGACTGTCACGTTCTATTTCCGGTAATGGCGAGAAAAATATTGAGGTCTGCAAGAATTGCCGGGCTTGTTGTAAAAGCATTCCATGCTGTTACTTCAGTCGCGCTTTTACTGTTTTTATATTCAGCTGAGTTTGCCATTAGTCGTCTTACCTGCTTTGTTAAAGTACACCACTGTTTCTATAGAATAATTTTCTATTGGCCAGGTTTATGATGATCAAATTAATGCTGTCGCTATCTGCAGTATATTATACACGTCTATTAAATAAACTTGATTTGCTTTTCAATAGAAAACCATGTTTTCTTTCAGATATTCTCAACATCCACCTGTAACTTTGAAACCACTATGAAGATTTCAAAAAACATTTAGAGGATACACCGGTATTCAGCGTTTATTTCATTCTATTTTTTTTTAAGCTTTCTTTTCTTGACCAAGATCGTAGAAGGTATTATATAGTTATTTTGTGTTTATTTATCAGGGTGATGGGGTTTCGTTGACCTAATGAAAAGTCAAAAATGAAAACAGCTATCTACACTTATTTTCTAGAGAAAATTGAAACTATGGCTTAACAGCCTGAATCGTAAGATAGCCGAGAGCGTAGCGATAGTAACCTTAACTGCCATAATAGGTCTTTTGCATTAGTAGTTGATCATGTGATCAACTTTCGGTAAACACGAAAACAGTTCGCTTGAGGATGACTCGAGCCAGGCCTCGACGTATACGTAGGACTCGAAAATTTTTCGCTTTCCCGCCATTTTCACGTCCTGGCGACTCGCATTTTTTTTAAAAATGATCTTTTAAATTTTATTGGAGCGTCAATGTATTTGGCATGAAAATACTAATTGGGGACACTATTTTTACGTCTCCGACTTGAGACGGGACAGCCAGTTTGCGTGGTCATCCGAGCCACGCGAAGGTCTAGTAGCTTGCACGCAGTGCAAAGGGAGTAACTTAAAACAAAACTGAATGCAGGGCTGGCACTACGGCAAAGGGTTGATTTATTAAAAGCTCTGAGCAGTCTCAGGCCTGCTCAGAGTTTTTAAAGACCCTGAGTATCCAATGGGGAATCGAACCCGAACCTCCTCTCTTCAGTCAAGCGCTCTACCGACTGAGATTGGCTCAAGTGATAGTCAGAAATTTCGGCTCGTATTATATGCTAAACCATCGAATAAGAGGTTTATTATTCCACTACAAAAGAAAGATATCTGGCAATTGGCGTCTATTTTTTGGTAAGAGTATTCAGAGACATCCTGATTCTGTCTGTGAGAATGACGTTAACAATTAGCAAAATGTTCGCGCGTATTACATGCCAAACGATTGAATGAGAGGTTAATTATTTTACTGCAAAAGAAAAATGGTATTTTGGCTTCTATTTTCTAATGCGAGTATCCAAAACATCCTGATTCTGTCAGCCACAGCTGCTCCTTTTGCATCCGCCGGTATTCGCCCTGTTGTAAACCGGTTAAACCAGGACACTACGGTGTATTACGGCCTCGTATTTTGCTTGTTCTCTTGACCTTATATGGTAAAATGACATAATAGTGGAATAATAAAGATGACTAATTACATCTTTAGCCCTCGAAAAGTGTAAAGAAATGTAATATGCCTTAAATTGCTCTGGTATAAGGTTTCCGTCCACTGAAAATTAAAATTACTCAATTTCCTGGTGGATTCCGTCTTATTATCATAAAGTTTGTTTTCTTCCTGTTAAAAGACAACTTATTAAGATTGCAATAGTTAAGTTCTGAGTTCATAACTGCGCCAAGATCTTTGATGTTTTAGTGGCATAGAAGATATTAGCATCATCAGCAAAAAGTCGAAAGGAAAGCATATCTAAAGAGTTGGCAAGATCATTTATGTGAAGAACAAATAATAGTAGCCCAAGGGTTGATCCCTGAGGTACACATTCATTGCTTCATAATTCAACACTTGGAACAAATGCATACGTATAACTGGATGGTCCCTATGAGCCGCATGGAATATTAGAACAAATTACGAATGTATTAGTTTGTCCGAATATGAAAAAACCAATCAAACAGCCTTGAAGGCATTCGAAGATATTTAACAAATGACTGCAATTGTTATGCATTTCAGCTATAATAATTATCATTTGTGAGACGATAGAGTAAAATAGCCGGCTTCTTTTTTTGCAGAAAACGACAAATTTTTAAAAAATTCAAGCCACTTAACAATTAATATCACCTGCCCACATGCGTCTCTAATATAAACCACAGTATTTTATATGATCATTTACACAACTGAGGTACGAAGTAGTCATTGAGTCGTTGCTAATTTAGCCTCAAAGCTCCTTGCGTAGACATCCGATCAAACAAAGGAAGTTTTATAGATAATCCAACTGTCACTGGCACCTTTTTAGACTACATGTTTTGCCGTGCGGCAAAATGACTATTTCAAAAGAGCTAGTATGAAAAAAGTTCAAACGCGACTACAGCAAGCACGGCGTCTCTGTAAGGTCTCCGATACTTTTCGATCAAACGTGATTTCTAGCAAAGACGAAGAGCAAGTTGTCATTTAACTCAAAAAACAACCCGCGTTTATACTGACTTCCTGTACTTACATGTACATGTATAAATAAAATTAACTGTTTATGTTTTGAATTACACGCCAATTACAAGGCTTTCTAATCCCCAGAAGAGAGGCGAGAGCCAAGGAAGCCAAACTAAATATAGAAATATGACCAGAAAGCTTCGGGATCATCTTAGACGTTTGAACTTACACCAACCGGATTTTTCTCTCAACTGGTTAGCACCCCTGGCCCAGATTTTAGATTTTTAATGGTATCAGGACTGAGTGGAGTCCAATTCGGTCTGTAATTACGAGTGATTAACAAAATCGGACAACCGCGTAGCGGGAGTCTGATTTGTTTAATGACGAGTATGATCACAGACCGAATTGGACGACACGAAGTTCTGTTGCCAATTAATCATAACTTTAACAAAATTGGTGATGTATAAGGCTCTTTTTTAAATCAAAACACAAGAAATTCCAAGATGGTTCTGCTAGCTGTGAAAAAAAGCCATTTAAGCGAGCGAGTGATGGCGCGTTCGGTCCTATTAAAGTGTCCTATAAAGGCTTATATCAGGCAGATGATAGCCAGTCAGATTTGAGAATTTTGTTATAAATATGATTATAAGCATAATTGCCCATCCTTTTGGCCCATATTTTTTCTTCAAGTCAAACAAGCAGACAGGTACATTACCGTGCGATTGCAAAAGACCGTGAACACTTGATTCTAACAGGTCAATTGTGTAGAGACCAATCACAATAAATTCAGGACATGCGAGCAAACCTCAAAAACTAATCATGAACTAATTACTGTTGCTTTTTCGGTTTTTTTTCTCACGCCTGATTGGCTTTTTTCCTGGATGCACAATAACGTTCCTTGTCATACGGATGGCTCCTTGAGCGGGCAAGATGACGAGAATCCTTTGCTTTGATTGACTACCTGAGCTGGCGAGAAGGGCCTGAGATCTTGCCTGCTCGGGAACGCCAGTTTTGTTCCACCAAAAAACATTTAGTTTTGGCCATATGATAAATAAATCGTTTATCAACCGACGGGGAGCTTATTCGGTCAAAGATGGCTAATTATGGCCTTGTTCTGTTTTTTTTTTTGGACCAATATCTAGCCATTTTCAACTCACGCTTGGTCAATGACGCATGCATAAGAGTTTTCTGAGTTTCACCGCAAGGATAAAATATTTTCTACGTGATACTTGGCAGTTTGCACCCCTTTCTTATATAAAAGCGAAAACGGATCGTCGGTCTGAAGCCTGATAACTATAATTGCAGTTTGTAAATACATATCACAGCTTACCTATATACTCTAACGTAGACGCGAATATGACAACTCGGTATATATATAAATATTACTCTTCTTCCCTGTTACTCTTCGATAACCTTAACTTAGCACTTTCACGTGATTCCAACGTTGGAACCAATCAAATGGCACGGAGAAAACATTTGCATGTGCAACATAATGCAATCGACTCAGCACTTTCACTTGGAACCAATGAAATAACACACAAAAAGGAAGATTAGGCAACTTACAGCTAATGACATCAAAGTTCATTCTGTTTCACGTAAATACCTTTTGTTATTTTAATTAGCTAACATCAACGGAAGAGTTTAAAAGAGTACAGAGCGCAACGCGCACAAACCAAAAGTAAGAACTGCAACTGATTTCGCTCAGGTTTTCCCTTTGGTCCAGGTCGTCAAGCAAAGTAAGTGCGTTTTTGTTCTTTAGCCTTTCATATTTTTAGTTGGCTCGAGTTAGCGGAGTTTTTACCGTACCAGATAATTTATCTTTTCCCTTTATGGTTCCCTCTGGCCGAAACGCCGACGAGACGAACTTCCTCTTTCGTGATTTAACCGCACCACCGTTTTAATTCTAATTTGTATCATCGACGGAAGACAAACTTGTTAGCATTTACCCTAGAGGTCAATAATCTCTGTTTTTGTTCGTCTCTTTAGAAAAGTGGTTAGAGGAATGAATTGCGTTTTTGCCTTTTTGCTGTTCACCTCAACGGGCTTTTTACTGTCACCCGTTGTGGACGGTGGTGCTGCCTTGGCCGTGGCATGTCCAGTGGTTTGCACGGCCTTTGTAACTGGTGGAGTAACTGCGGCAAATGCCGCAGGTATCGCAGCAGGCGTTGCAAACCCTATCCTTGGAATACTAATAGCAGCGCTAGAAGGAGCAGCTGGTGCAGCAGGTGTCGGAATGACTGTAGCTGGATGCACAACTGTGTGTACGACCGCTTTGTCTATAGCGTCTTGCTTTGACGAAGAAACCATTTCAACAGTTTTAGAAAATGGAAAACTACAAGATGTTCCTTTTCGAGCAATTGGCGTGAATTCAGTGGTTAAAAGTCTGAACGAAGACGATGTCACCATTCCGTCATTCACAAAAATAAAGCGAATGCAGATCATTGAAGGACACTTCGATTTTGTACAGCTTGATTTCGAAGATAAAGTAACATCTTTGAATGTAACTACTCCACATATTATGATCGTGTATTCAAAGGACAAAGGTTTCATTGCAAAAGCGGCGAAAGATGTGAAAGTAGGCGATCAAATGTTATGCAGCAAAACAGGAACAGTTATAAGAGTATCAAAAATCAGCTCCTTCTACAAAACCAGGAAAATTAATGTTGAAACCGAGAGTGGAACCCTAGTTGCCAATGGATTATATGTAAGTGGAGTTTGTGAATATAATCCACGTATTCAAAACACAACATTTCAAAACCCCCAAAATGTCTATTTCCTAAATGAGTTTTTGCATACCTACAGAAAAAGTCATGGTTATTTTCAGATAAATGTAAATTGGCGATCATATTTACACGTTTGATTTCTCGATGTGGCATTAAATTTACACCATCTTATATTAGGGGAACTCAACGACTGCTTTCTGTATAGTACTGCTCCATGAAGAAACAAAGTTTGCGCAGAAGTCATCGCCATATCTGAAAAAAAAAGCTAGAAATTTCTAGGTGTCTTGTTCAATTCATCTAAGATTCTCTGATGTTTTCTGTTCACTTGCCGACGATTTTTGGAAGTTAATTAGAATTTCACTTCAAGCTTTCTTCCAACATTTAGCTGTATTATTCGAAATAGTAGCGGCAATCTGATATTCTTGACCGTTTCGTGCATGAATAGCATCTACGTATTTTAGGGAAATAGTAGAAATGCGCCAAAAAATTCGAAAAGGTTTAAGTTGTCCTGGGATGACCGAACAAATATACACTCTTATGCGTAGCTTGGCTAGAACGTATCCGTAGAGACTTAAACGAACTCTACGCAACTGAAAACAAGCTTTCGAAAAAAAGGAAAAGGAAAGAAAGGAAGAAAGAAAAAGAAACAGTCATTGGGTTGGTGCCCCAGTTGTATACCGAAAACTGGGGCCGGCTAATTGCTTTTAGATTTTCTGTAACTTTTTACTCCATTGATGCAGTTAAATTAAATGATAAAGGCAGTTTAATTACCTACGTCTATATATGTGTGAGTACTATGTTAGTTTTAAAAGTGAATAAACTCCTGTTTCGCCACAAATATTTGTTAACATTGTCATAGTGAAAAATTATGTAATACAGCTAGGGACCTCTGACGAAAATGCTCAGAGATTTTAATGAATTTAATGTATGCTTTTATATGGGATAAAAAAAAAAAAACAATTGTCAACCTTTTCTATTTTTTTCTACTTTACGTAGGGGGAGGTAAGGGGGAATTGGGTTGTAGAAAAGGAAGACACTGATCCATTTCATTTAGGGTTAAAGTGATTTTGAGGGAGGCGGTTTCCTTGTTTTTGGGTCTTCGGTCTCTGTTTTCTACCCACTGTTCTACGCAGAAAAAGACTGCCTTCTTAACAGTATAGCCCGGCTACAATGCACTCAACATCATCACAAACATATTTTGTTACTTTGAAGAACACGTTAGCGGCCATGGCTCCCAATGTACTTCGTTCCGCCACCAGGATAGAACAGGGTGTAAATACTGGTAGAATACCTAAACAAGCGGCACAAATGCCTCTGTTTCTATTCATGAGGCCATGTTTGATGTATGCGCTTACATAAATTGCCCTTCCGCTGGTTACACACATTTGTCCCATTTTGGATTCAAGCCTTAACCAAAGTAGCAATTTTGCGTTGTACTGGTAATTATCGCTTACATTCGCCCACGTTCGATTTATCAAATTCGAATATGAATTCTACGCAATAAGGACAAAATTGCACAGGAACAGGATTGATATTTTTGTATTATTGTCTGGAACATTGTCGGAAATTTATCACTATTTGTCCGAATCAGTTCCAGAGACTCAAAGGCTCAGTGGGACGCTACCATGCATTTGCTAACATAAGAGATTACCTCCACGAACAAATGACAACAGTCGACTGCTATATTAATTGGTTTTGAACTATATACTCGTTGGGTGCCCCTGCCATTTGTTGTTTGACATTATATTTTAAATTGTATGTTACCGCAAACGGGGTCTCGACACTTTTTATGAATGTTATGTTGATGGCGTTTAGTAACTGCTAAGTTGAATCATGAAGACGGGCTGTTCACATGTAGCAAAAAAGTGCAGACTTCGGTGAACATGTACTGGGTTTCTATTTATTCGTGTAGAGACAAACGGAGGCGGTGTATGTACTTCAGGGCAAGATAAGCATAAACTTACTACTATTTAAACGGGGAGAGGTATACGGAGGTAAATCTCCCTCCTCCCTAAACCTGGTTTAAAAATTGGCAGCGGGCAACACACGAATCCTGCACTTAGTTGTAGAGGAAGTTTTCTGACCTTCAGAGCTTCGCCTCTAAACCAACATATGGCACGAAGATTGCGTAACCACCTCATGTCATACATACGAAGATTTTTATGGAGGAAAAAACCGGGGGGTACTCCAGGGAATTCTTGGTAGGGGTGTGCCGCCTGATTCTCCAAATTCTGACCCTATTTCAGACCAAAATATGGCGTTATTTAAACCCGTTTTCAGACCTGGCCTCTAAGAAATATTGCCGTCATTACTTAGAACAGCAGCCAAAATCTATTTCAAATTTGCATATTTTTCTTTCTTTCTTATTCATTTGGAACTGGAATGATAAATATGTTCATACACTCCCATAGTTTCCTCGAAACTTATAGGCAAAGTCTATGTCCGTTTTCAGACCAAAACGCCCCTTAAACCCCCAGGGATGGGGTACTCCGGATTTCAAGTGACAGGGATGATCAAAGGATTTTCTTGGGTTTGAAATTTTCGATTCCGGGATTTTTTTGCGCAGTAAAATTTGGCAAGTATTCTTTTGTGTGGCTTGATTTAAGTGGGCATTTGTTTTGACTATTCAGAACAATCTGAAAATTCCCGATAGTACCCACAAATCCTCCAAATCCCGCAAACCCCGCCTAGTTCTGCGATTAAAAATCAACAGGCAAACTTGTTTTCTTTTCTGGAGATTTTTAAGGCTCAGAAATTCAGCATGGGATATTTTTGGGGATTAATTTTTGGTCCAGGGAGTTTTTGTGGGTTTTGTTGGAAGCTCTAGGGATTTTTTGGGGTTATGCCTTTTAGTCCCATTCGATCATCCCTGTCCCTTGAAATCTGGAGTATCCGCCCTGGGCAACAACTCTTCCCTTTGGGGCGGCACATACCTATATGGCTTATATAAGGGAGTAACCCCCCGAGGAAAAAGCCCCCCTACCTACCAACTATTTAAGAGAAATACTCTAACTTATATCAACAGAAAACTCGTTTCAATTTTGCAGTGGCAACTACCTACAGACCCATGGAACTGCCATGGGAACATGGGAACATGGTTTTGCAAACACAGTACAAACCAACAGAAACTTTTCAGTACACGAAGTTCTACTCGTGTCACCCTCCAGGTGTGAAGAAAGGCTTCATTAAAGGAGAAGCGCTCCAGCTTCTAAGGACCTATTCCTCTTAAACGACTCGGAGAAAAATATCCAAAACATTCTGAAAACGCCTGATAGAAAGAGGCTACCCTACCGGTATTGTAAGAAAGTACCTCTCTGAAGTAAAATTCGCCGACTGGAAACAGCCCCTTACCAGAGAAACAAATCCGCCCGTAAAAAAAAAAAAATAAATAAAAATAAAAATAAAAATAAAAAAACCAAATTACTAATGGGGAAATCGCACCTTATACAAAACCAACAACGGCTAATAGAAATCTTTAAGGAGCCTCCCCTTATATCATGTCGCAAGGGACATGCACAGAGGACCTATTAGTTAGAGCGAAGCCCTGAAGGTCAGATTTCGACCAAGTGCATGAGTCTTGTGTTGCCCGTCGCCAGTTTTTAAACCTTGAAACCTGAGATGTGTCCAGTTTGATTCCATGCTTTCTCGATTAAGTCCGACCAAGGGAGTCAAGGGAGACCCAAGGGGAACGCAGTGTACGTCAAATTCCCCATTCCCCCATCCCTTTTCATTACGCAAGTTCTAAAAAAAAAAGTTTTAAAATTACCTTCTCAACGATTTCTCTCTACTTCCACAACGGGCATTTCATTTATTTATTTATTTATTTTTGGATATTTTTATTTTTAAGCGCTGATGAAAATAGCAATATTGTTATCGGCGCTATATAAGTATTATTATTATTATTCTCCCTCCTACCTACATTTTTGCCCCGATTTCTCCCTCCTCCCTATTGTGTACCTCCCCCGTCTCAGCGTATAAAAGGCGGTCGAGACGAAAACGTAAGCACACTGCCGTATCATGAATTATAAGTGTGTCTGCATCATTTCATGATCAACTGAAGAGAAGATTCCACGCGCTTGTAACTCCATGTTCCGGCAATATTTTTTCTGTCCTACCACACTCGAGGCGGTTAAAGTCACTCCTGATCTCTGCTTTGACATTTTGAACCTTAAGCTAATTGATTTTCAAATAGCGATGGGGATAAAGTTAAGGAGAACTTGAAATAGCGACTCGTAGTTTGTACAAGTACAGTATGTGGGAGACAACGGATGTCGGAACTATGGTTTGTTTATAAGGTCATCAAAAATACCTGAAACTACGCATGAAATCTGACGCTCAGAGGGTGGATTGCCAGACCTATAAACAATGCATATGCTACGCTTTAAAGAGCATAGCAAACAAGTCAAACAAGTAAAAGCAACTACACCTATTATATGCTATACTGACTGTACATTCAGTTTCTGCATCGTGCTATGAAGTGTACCACCGCACACAAAAATCTTATATCAAATTTTCCATCACCCTCACCCAGATGAATGCCCTAAATCTCGTCCCTAAATCTGTGAACTGTGTAAGGTTAGGGTACCCCTGGTGGGTTCTTGTTGACTATACTTAGTCATCCCTCAACTCCCCAGCTTTTTTCCGCCTTCTCACTGATGAACTTGTCCTGATTCGGGGATTGTATTGTGTAAAAACTGAAAAATTTTTTTTTTTCTTCTTAAACCATCCAAAACTTCAAGGTGATTTTAAGTAAAGGCCTACAAAAATAAGAGTCAAAATAAGGTATAAAGTGGCCACAAGAGCCATAATGGCTCTTGGTGGCCAACATTAGGCAATTTTATTTGATTCCATTTTTACCAGGTGAAAATCATCAATTTTCGGGACACATGAATTAGTAAATCATCCCCTTTAATTTCTGTTTTAATTACTTGAGATATTTTCTAACTTTGTATGGATCTCAAAAGATATACAGGCTTTGATATTTGCAGAAAAATAAGCTTACTTTAACAGTTCCTTTTTTTATAGTTATTAATTTTAAAAGCAACGGAAAATCTTGCGGATGATGTTCTTCACTTCTTGTTTGACGTCTCTGATCCTCCAACAATAAAGAGCTGGGTTTAAAGAAGAATTTAAATAAATGAGAGTCACGAATAATTCCGAAAGAATATATATTTCAGTCGAATAGGATGGTTTAACACTCAACCATCTGATTAAGATATAAGGAAAATAGCAAATAAGTAAAGCTTACTGCACCCATGCTATGCTGTACACTGTCTTCTTGTATCGAGCTATGTTCAGTTGATTCCCTCCTCCATTTGGCCGCTGTTTTTGTTGAGTATTGCAATGAACCTGAACTTGTCGATAACGAAGGGTTTTAAATATCTTCGCGTAAGAGAATACTGAAACTAGCAAGGAAAATGTTAACAAGGAAGAGAATAACCAAAAGGATATGTCGTATAGTTTTGGATATTCAGAGAATATAACGCATGTTGCTGGAAGGGCACTAATCAACCAAATACAAACTATAACCACCCAAACTCGTCTTAATGTCTTAGTGTGTCTATATATCAGGCCTAACAACAGGGCAAGGAGTCTGTCCAGGCTGATGGCGGCTGATGTAAGGAGTGATACTGCAGGAAGCAGACCAAAGAAGAAATCGTCTGCACGCGGAATTGCGACATTCACATTCCAAGTTGTGAACCGGGGAAAGAGAATAGTAACATACAGTGGTTGAGAGATAAGTCCACCCAAAAGATCGGTGACTGCCAGGCATCGAAATAACAGTTTTGTTGGTGGATAAATGGACCTCACTTTATGAAGAGCAATCACGATCAAAGTGTTGACAAGAGATGTGATGATGGCGAGAAAAATATTGATGCCTGCAAGAATTGCCATGCTCGTTGAATAAGCATTCCATAAAGTTACTTCAGTCGCACTTGCGCTGTTTTCATATTCAGTTGAGTTTGCCATGTCTTTACATTTGTTGCAAAGGAACTACACTCGGCTTAATATGTATGCAAAGAATTTCTTCTAAGTTTAGTAATTGCTTTTGGAAACAACGCAGGCCTTTATAAACAGTTTCTGCAAGTAAAGAGATTATGATAACTGGTTGTTTTTAATTGGTTCTGAGCTAAACAGGATGACTGTCACATTTAGAACTGCATGATTTTACGACATACCGGTCAGTGGTCTGCGACCTACTATCGTGTCTTGTTTATTTCCCTGTTGTTTCTAGGAGCTAAACCTAACCGAAGAAGCTGAGTATACCGATAGTTGAACTTAGGACAAAATGTCTTTGTTTCATTAAGTGTCTTAAGTTAGCCGTTCAATGCGCGAACTCTTAGTCCGAATATAAAACAACGAAATGACAACCACTTTATATATACGGTCGCTTATAAACAATATGGGCAGACTTGGGCAGGTAATCTATTGACTAAATTTTAAAATTTAAACAGTAAACCGATCCTTAGGGCAGGAAGATTGTTTTCTTTTTCTATCTTTTCTATCAATGCCACTATACAGGGCCGTATCAGTCCCAGTGTCTTTTGTTTTAGAAAGGTTTACAGTTTCACTATTTAACGTCTTAAATACGGGTGTCTTGCTGAAGTTTTATTTATCGGATTCAATATATGCATATTTTTAACTGAATGACAAGTTGGTCTTCTTCTAAGCTGAAAAGGAAGTCACGTTTTCAGTGTAAAAATAAAAAGTTTCAGTTTTGTTGGAAGATTGACGGATAAGGGATATTTTTGTCATCTGAACGGTCGGGTGGATTCTTAACCGTCGCTTTTGCCCGCACTTGGGATTATTATAACTATTCTTTTTTAAATTCAAACTGGTAATTCCGGCTTCGAATCAAACATCAGGAAATACATCTGCTCATGAAAGCCAAACAACAGGCCGCTTAGGTAATGTTTTCGGGTTAAACGACTCCAAAAACAATTTTTTTAACTTTATTATACTAAGATTTTCATGTTACTACTTTATATATGTTGTGTCTTTGTTATGTTTTTCGTTTACAGCCATTAAACTCAGCAGCAAATCTTGCGGATCGCGTTCTTCTCTATTTAATTAGAGACCTTAAGATACCAGGACGGGAAATTCTAGGACGGGGATCATGGCGGAGGAAACCTGGGGAGAGTTCACCGTCGCAAGGCGCCAAAACTAAACCTAAGAAACGCGAGGACGAGATCGAGGACGGATCAGTGTCGTATCATTGTTTATAATTTTTTGACTACTTAATGGCATCATTTAGGGAGGTTCGCGACCTTCTCCTCGACAGTTTCGATGACGGAGAATTATCGGAGGACGAATTTCTTCTTCTCTATGATTTAAACACGTCTAAAAATCCTGATTTTCCGTACGAGTGCTACGGGGAATTCTCCCTTGATGACCTGGACGACAGCGAGTGTTTTGCCGAATTTCGTGTTCATAAAACTGACATCCCAGTTCTGCTGGAAGCCCTTCAGCTCCCCCAGACTTTCATATGTCGACAAGGAACAAAATGTGATGGTATTGAAGGTCTTTGCATTGCACTGAGAAGAGCTGCATATCCTTGTAGATACAGCGATTTGATTCAGCGATTTGGTCGTCCAGTGCCTGAACTGAGTATGATTTCAAACCTCGTCATGGATACAATTTACCAGCAACATCATCATAGACTTACTCAGTGGAATAACACGCTCCTGAGTCCTGCATTACTTGAAACCTATGCTCACGCAGTATACCAGAAAGGAAGTCCATTGTCCAATTGTTTTGGTTTTATTGATGGAACGGTGCGACCTATTTGTAAGCCTGGAGAGAATCAAAGGGTCGTTTATAATGGGAATAAGCGAGTACATGCCCTAAAGTTCCAGTCTGTAGCACTGCCGAATGGTATAATAGCCAGCATGTATGGCCCAGTAGGTAATTAAAATTATAGCAGCATTTTATTGATGTAAAAATATTTTGTTGTGAATCCTGTAAATTCTAATTTAATCTATTTCACTGTTATCTTCCAGAGGGGAAGAAACACTATTCTGCCATGTTAGCAGATTCTGGTCTTCTTCAACAGCTGGAGCATTATGCTTTTTCTCGAGCAGGAGAGCCAATGGCTCTTTATGGGGACCCTGCTTATCCCCTGCGTGTCCACTTGCAAGTCCCCTACAGATGTGCAGGAATGACGCCTCGCATGGAGGAGTACAACAAGGCCATGAGTGCTGTGCGCATTTCTGTAGAATGGCTTTTTGGTGACATTATAAACTACTTTAAATTTCTCGACTTTAAAAAAACTTGAAAATTTCTCTGAGTGCTGTTGGGAAAATGTACATGGCATGTGCCATTCTTCGCAATGCCTTGACTTGCATGTATGGCAATTCCACATCAGAGTTTTTTGCCCTAAACCCTCCTAGTGTACGCGAGTATTTTAATTGAATGCTTTTCTATAGCTATCTGGGCCGGTTTGTTCATACTAACCCGGGGTTAGTTCAAAAATTTGAATTCAGATGTGAAAGCTTAGAAAGTAAATTCAGTTTAATTCTTTTTGTCAACAAGTTGATGAATGGATGCTCTTAACGTCGAAATTAACCCTGGGTTAAGCGCTAACTGGCCTTCAAACAACTGGGCCCTGATCTAAACCAATGGCATATTATAATGATACTAATTAAGCAAGCCATATGGATAATTCACTTTTCTGGGGACAATATTATGTTGGCAAGACCACCCAACTTTCTTCACACCACCCATTTCCCCTGCCCACCCTGGGGTGGGGGTACTCCCCATGATGGCCTATAAGAGGAGGTTCCGCCCAAAAGGGCTAACAGATGAATTTTATGGCTTTGAAAAGTCGTCCTATTTTTGTGGTTGAATCCTTTTTAACAGAGAGAGCATTTACAGCAGTTAAAGGGGATGCAAAGTTCTAAACAAAGTTTACTAAACATTTGTTGAGTACCCCCCTGGCGGCTGCCCACCCACCATTAACATCCCAAGAATTTTCTCACAAATAACTTTATTAGAACCATTCAAAAGCTGTGGTTAAAATCTCCTTAATTAAATAAGCAGTGTAATAAAAATCCTTAAATAGATATGTTTACAACAGCCCCTTAGTTCAAAAACCAAACTTTTTAACTTTTTCGCTCTATGGGAAACAAAGTCTTATTAGGCTCCAGTACCTTTTCTTGGTGAAAACGTCTCTAATTTTGAGAATACTACAAGTAACAACTAAAGTGGGACTCACAAATAATAAAGTTGGAAAGTTAATAAAACTCTCTGTTAACAAGAACTTTAGTTTCAAAACATTGTGTCCCTAAACAATGACCCCAATTGTCTTGATTACATTTTAAAGGCACATTTGACCAAACCAGAACCTAACAAAGAAAACAAACCCAACAACAGTCAGCTGGTCACTTTGTTTTTTCTAGTGCTTGTCAATCAGCTTTGTGACAAGAGCCAGCATCAAATCACTTTGCTGCATTGCTTGCATGCTCATCATGGTTTGGAACTCCTGCATCTGTTTTTGTTGCTGTTGTTGTTGACTGACCATGAGTTTCATCAAATTTCCTTCTCTTTCCAACTGCATCCTTTTCATTCCTAATTCTTCCTTATGCATTTCCTGAAGATGTTCATTTTTTTTCTCTCAGATAGGCTACTGTTGCATTACCACTTGACCTCTTCTTAAATTTTGTTCCTTCATTTTCATCATCATTGGACTCTTTCCTCTTTTTTGTCTGCCCAATACTTTCCATTGCTCTTTTTCTCATGTCTGTTGCATTTTCTCTATCTTGTTTCTTCTGGTCATCAACTACTCTCTGCTCAGACTCAGCCGCATCCTCTCATTCAATCAAATCTTCCAAAGCTTTCTCCAAGTTTGTCATATCAGTCTCTATACCACTTGCTTTCTCTTCATTTTTGATTTTTTTCTTCAGATCCCTTGCAAGATTGTTATAGCGGTCACGAACTGCCCTCTTATCCACTTTAAAATATACATCTTGGAGTTTGTTTAGGTTTTCAGCTACCTTTTCCCATTTTGCCCCTCTTGCCACAGTACTCCTTTTGGTGCCACAGAACACATTGACAACCAAGATTTCTCTACAAAGCAGCTCATCCTTTTCTTCATTCCAAATCATTGGTTTCCTAAAACATGATACACATCATCACAAAATTAAATTATGCCTTGAAAACCCAGACTGCAGATTAGATCAGCAAAAGCCACATAAGAACATGACTAAATATTAACATTAACAAATGCTTGACATGATTATCATTCGTGGCAAAAAAAGGACGTATATAACATGAAAAGTTCACGCTATAAAAAACTAACTAGCTAGCGTACATGTCAGCTTACAGGCTTTACTGACAAAATACTGTCTGGTCGAGAATCAAATAACCTGGAAGATGTATACATTCTATCAGCTGTTACAGATTACATTAAGTGAGAGCCAAATTCCAACCGGGTAAATGTTTATACCTTTTGTTTCGCAGCTATAGGGATAGTAATAAACACAAATGAAGAATTAATAAAATACGCTTATGTTTTTGCACTTTCCGATTTTATTACTGTTGTGAACTCCATCAGACAATCTCCTTTATGCCATGAACAGATATACGAAAGAAAAAATACTTAGTCGCTGGCAACTGAATTTAAGACCAACTGATGCTATTATAATTTTTTAGTTTAACAATACTCACGGAGAATTGATCCTCTTGGCTGCATTAACACTCATTATGATTGGACACTAAGACAAAAACAAACACATTTTTACATACTTTTTTTCACACGGCAATTATCAGTTTATCGCTTGAAGTCACGACAAATGTCACCTTCATGAAATGCTTTTTCCAAACCTAAAAAAACGGTCGCTTCAAAATAAAAAGGAGAATACTCACGTTCTCGACAGGACGGCAAAAAGGCATGAATGGCGTCCTCTACGAGAGCAGGACGGGAATGAGCTGGGCGGTAGCTACTCGTGCGCATGTGTCAACTGTCAAATTCACTTCCGGTAGCCGTCCTAGATCTTCCCGTCCTCGTATCTTAAGGTCTCTATTGTCTCACCACAGGTAACCCAGGTTCACGGTTTGTGTCACGTACCGGTTTCATAACATGAGTAATTAGTATATACACACTCCGTGATCTTGGTAATTCAAGAAATCTGATTGGTCAGCTATCTCGGACTAGTGAAGCTGCGCAGCGCCGAAGAGTCACATTTCGGATTAGGTGTTCATACTATACAGACAGAGTTGCTTATGGTTTCGGCACGAAAAACCATCCGGTATGGTCTGCATAAGCATAGCCCCTTTCTGTCGCCAATTAAAGATCTGCGGCATATTGCATTTTAATTTGTTCTGGGAGCCTGGTTGTCCATTGAATAAACTTGTTTTGTAGTTCAGTAGTCTCATCATTTAACATCTGTAAATTTGAAACCAAGATTTCAAAAACATCTATAGGATGCATATTTAGTGGTTATTTTATTTTCTTTAATAGCGTTTCTTTTTTTGATGTTGATCGTAATAAATATTTTATAGTTATTTTTTATTTGTTCATATGAGGGCGGTGGGTTTGACTTAATGAAACCAGAAAGTCGGATCAACCAATTTATAGCAAAATTGAAAGAAAAACCAATAAATCATGACATGACTAGAGGAAATTGAAAATATATATTGATAAAATAAAGAGCGTACTAGTTGACAGGTGCCATATATATATATTTATCATTTATCAACATTCAAACAAAAGAGTTCAGTGTTTTATTGTTAATTTAGCCTCATAAGAGTCAGTTTTTAAATGATTCACAAAAATGTCGGCATCATATGTTATTGGGAAACTGGCTCAGCTTTTAAAATTTCTATTTCTATTTCTTTACCCAGCAGAATTGGAGGAGTTCCTTCAGATCTACTTCTCGGCAGTTGTTTGGTGTTCAAACGACGAAGTTTTAGTTCACATTTATGTAATCCGACTGGCAGGCTTATTATTTTAAACATATTTCTTCCACTTAGCGTCGTGAAAAGATTGCTTTCCATTAGAGTCAGTGATGATTGTCTCAATAATTATTGTTACCATTAAGGAAACACATGGAAAATTGCTCATGTCAGTTCTAAGATAAGTCACTTTTTGCTTTAGAAGTTTAAAACGTAAAAGAAATTTCATGTTTTTTCATAAATTAAAAGGACTCCATGGATTTTTTGTTTTTGTTTATATACTCTGTTGAACTAGTTATTGGTATGCTAATACTTCCTTTTTATTGTTTGAATAAGTATCTTAGTAATTACATGCAGTAGTTCAGAGTCTCTATTAGACAACAACTTAGTGATTATTACCTTATTGCCTTAACGATGGCATGGTAGACACTGCGGTTCATATCAAAGGCGGATTGTGGGCAGGAGATATTAATTGATAAGGGGCTTGAATTTTTTAATGGGTATGTTGTTTTTTTCTTTTTTACATTGCTTTAGGGGAACCTACAATAGTTTCATTCTCACAATTTTAGTATTACAATTTCTTTCGTCCGTGGCCACTGCAGTCATATTTTTAAATAGCTTCGAATGCTTTCTAGAGTGTTGATTAATTTTCTTATACTGTAGTGGAAAAAGTTTGAGTTGATTGGAGGGTTCACTCTAGTAGGAGTTACCTCCGGGGGAGGGGGGTACTGAACAAAGTTTTATACAGGGAGGTTCCGCCCCGAGGTCCAGCCCCTTACCGTTTTATATACCATTTTTGCCAGAAAACGTACTCCTTGCGTATATCTTCCATCCCAACATACATGTATGAATAGTTCTGCCTCCTCCACACAGCCTTTTCCAAGGCGCTGTGGTGAGCACTTAGCGAGCCAAAAAGAAAAAGCGAGAAACAAGAAGCGAGAAGCGCCAGAAGGGAATGATGGGAACCAGGGCGGATAAAGGTTGGGGAGTGAAACGAGCGCATCCGAGCAAGAAGGTGTGATGCAGTGGACTGGGACTCTGTCTAGAAATGCCGCCTGTTTTCGACTTCGGTCAGGGCGATGTGGTTTGATTGTTCTTTAGACACTGCCGCTGTCACTGAATTATGGCGGCTCGAGTTGTTTTCTTGCACTTCTTCCTCGTTCCTTTCTGCTGGTACGTTGTCTCTAAGAGGCAAATGTTGCTAATTTTTTGTGGGAGGTTTAGTTGGAGTAAACAAACATCTCTTTCAAATGGTTTCCCTGGTTACTTCCATGACTCTACCACTGAATTATATTTTCGTTATATTACGCCCATGTCGATGTTATACCAAAACAAAAACAACTAAATACTGTCTAAAACACGAAGGAAAATCTCATCCATGTCATCCATGGAAAAACTAAAAGACAGCAGATGGTTTTTCATAACTAGACTGGACGCATGTATTTTATAAATGCGTGCACCTCGTGCAAGGTGTAATTATGCTAATTTCAATCACCATCATCCTTATTTTAATTTTGAAAAAAACATCTCGGTCGTACGTCTTTCTGTTTCTTCGGAACTTCAAAATTAGTTTCCCCTCAGTGTTTACTGTTTCATTTGTCTTTTTTTAGAGAGAAAAACGGAGAAAAAACCTTACAATTAACCTCAATAAATTTTGTTTACATGCGGTTGCCGGATTTGCGACGCATTGCGCAAATCGCCATGGCGCGTTCCTCCCGAGAAGCAATGTTTGAAGTACTACAACGCCACTATATCAAAATATATCAAGCTAATTTTTTGTTATGTTATGTAAAATTTATCCCCCTTTACCATATGTAAAAATTACGGTTGAGAAGTGTTAAGCTTTTGCAAACGAAACGGCGAAAGACGATTAGGTGATATTTAGCGGAAGGAGGAGGCCTTCAACACTTTCAAATTGAACTCAAATTTTGGCATTACACGACCAACAAGTTTGACTTTTAGGCACACAAACATTAACATATCAAACTGTTTATTAATATTGTTATAAAACAAATTTATCTATTAACATTGTAGCCTGAAATTAGAGAAAGAAAATAAGATTTCCGGTTTGCAAAAAGGAACATTTCACCGGCCTTCAAACGTACCGGAAGCGCGGAAAGAGCGCTCGTGCCAGTCCTACTGCGCATCACACATTGAATTAAGAGCGGAGCGCTCGTTTCACCGCCCAACCTTTATCAACCCTGATTGGAACGAACGCAGAGCGCGAGCAGGGAGTAATGGGAATTAAGGAAAAATAGAGAAGTTAAAGTGAGGGCTAACACTCAAGAAGTAGAGACAAACACTCCCAAACTGCGTCTCGTGTTTCCCTTTTTCATGCTCTAGCCGCTTTCTGCGTGCTTTACAACAGAACAGAGCACAGTCAAAGCTTCTGTTTTGTTAATTTTCATATACTTTGTCCGACAGTTTTGTGAACGTCTTTTCTGCTCTGGACTCCCTCCACAATCAAATTCTAGAGCACCATACGTGAACGTTTAAAAAACAAGTTCAAATAGCTGGGTAAACGATAACTATAACAAACACAACAACTCTTTCAATTTGTCTTAATGTTTGATGTTTTAACACTCTGAGACCCGACTTTTTCCGTATAGTAGTCTCGGATGGTGGTGTTTGGAAATAGGTGGGGTGGCACTGCAACCTCTCTTTCCCAGTGGAAAGCCCTTTATTTAAAAATAAATTCGTAATCAAGATCTGTGGTCTCGATAATACACAATCGACCTGTCGTTTATTCTAACTTTGTTACCCTGAATTTTGAGAGCGACTGCAATATTTGCGAATAATTAATGTTCTTCACTTCTTGTATTTTTGCACATCTTTATCCTGCCTCACATCGACCGCTCTATTTCGGGCATTTTAATTGCCAGACCTATAAACAATGCGCATGCTATGCTGTAACTAAAGGAGCATAGCAAACAAGTAAAGCCAACTACACCTATTATATGCTCAGCTATATACTGACTGTTCAGTCTTTCTGTATCGCACTATGTTCACTGCACAAAAAAATCTTATATCGAATTGTCAGACTAAAAATTCTTATCCATCACCCTCACCAGATGGATGCCATAAATCTCGTCCCTAGATCTGTATATAAGTTTGAACTGCGTAAGATTAGGCTTGTTGACATATCATCCCTCACTTCCCCAGCTTTTTCCCGCCTTCTCACTGATGAGCTAAACCTTCTTAGTTTGCCCTGATTTGGGGTTGTATTGTGCGAAAGTTGAAAAACAACAATTTTCTTTTTGGTAAACCATAAAAAAGGTGATTCTTAAGTAAAGGCCTACAGAAAAAAGAGTAAAATAAGGTATAAAAGTGGCCAACATTAAGCATTTTTATTTGTGTTTCATTTTTAACAAGTGAAAATCATCAGTTTTCTAGACACATGAATTGACAATAAAATCATCCCCTTTCAAAATTTCTGTTTTAATTACTTGAGAAATTTTCTAACTTTGTATGGGTCTCAAAAGGTATACAGGCTCTGATACCCGTATCAAAATGAGCTCACTTTAACAGTTCCTTTTTTATAGTTATTAATATTTAAAAGCAGCGGAAAATCTTGCGGATCATGTTCTTCACTTCTTGTCTCACATCTCTGATCCTCCAACAATAAAGTACTGGGTTTAAAGAAGAATTTAAATAAAGGAGAGTCACGAACAATTCCCAAAGAATAGATGTTTCGGTCGAATATGATACTTTATCGAACAACCTTAAAAACCCTAATAAGTTACATGGAAAATAACAAATAAGTAAAGCTAACTGCACCCATGCTATGCTGTACACTGTCTTCTTGTATCGAGCTGTGCTCAGTTGATTCCCTCCTCCATTTGGCCGCTGTCCTTGTTGAGTATTGCGATGAACCTGAACTTGTCGATAACGAAGGGTTTTAAATATTTTCACGTAAGATAATACTGAAACTAGCAAGGAAAATGTTAACAAGGAAGGGAATAACCACAAGGATATTTCGGGTAGTATTGGATGTTCATAGATTATACCAACTGTGGCTTCAAGGGCACTAATCAACCAAAAACAAACTATGACCAGCCAAACTCGTCTTAATGTAACTGTGTGTCTATATCTCAGCCCTAACAACAGAGCAAGAAGTCTGTCCACACTGATGGCTGCTGATGTAAGGAGTGATACAGCAAAGAGCAGAGGAAAGAAAAAATTTTCTGCACGCATAATTGCAGTGGGATTCACATTCCATGCTGTAAGAAAGCAAAAGAGAAAAGTTAAATGTAGTGGTTGAGAAATAAGTCCAACTAAAAGATCGGTGACTGCCAGGCATCGAAATAACAGTTTTGTTGGTGGATAAATGGACGTCACTTTATGAAGAGCAATCAGGATCAGAGTGTTGCCAAGAGATGCGGTGATGGCGAGAAAAATATTGATGCCTGCAAGAATTGCTATGCTCGTTGAATAAGCATTCCATGAGGTTACTTTAGTCGCACTTGTGCTGTTTACATATTCAGTTGAGTTTGCCATGTCTTTACATTTGTTGCAAAGGAACTACACTCGGCTTAATATATATGCAAAGAATTCCTTCTAAGTTTAGTAATTGCTTTTGGAAAGAACGCAGGCCTTTATAAACAGTTTCTACAAGTAAAGAGATTTTAATAAAAGGTTGTTTTTAATTGGTTCTGAGCTAAACCGGATGACTGCCACATTTAGAACTAGTGCATTGTTTTACGACATACCGGTCAGTGGTATTTGAACTACTATCGTATCCTGTTTATTTTTCTGTTCTTTCTAGGAGCTACACCTAACCTAAGAAGCTGAGTATGCCGATTGTTGAATTTAGGACAAAATTTCTTTGTTCGATTAAGTGTCTTAAGTTAGCCGTTCAATGCACCCACCCTTAGTCTGAATATAAAACAACGAACTGACAACCACCTTATTGGTTCGCTTATAGACGATATGGGCAGACTTGGGCAGCTGATCTATTGCCTAAATTTTATAATGAAAACAATAAACCGATTCTTGCGGCAGGAAGATTGTTTTCTTTCTTTATCTTTTCTATCACTCTTAAGGATAAGTTTAGTGTTTTTACTTTAAAATTTGGCGATCCAGATTATACTGATCCAGGTCTACTAAACGCGACTAAAGATCCGGCTGTTCCTCAGTGGTTTGTCGTCGTGGTTTTTCCTTCGCAAGTGTTTCTCATCTATTGACTGAATTACCAATAACTGTCAGTCTCTGTCTGCAAGGAAGCCGCAAGGCGGGAAGCCTATTTTCTTTCTTAATTAAGCTTGTAGTCATTGCAGTTATTGTTTCTTTAATAACTTGGTTTGTAATTTGCTTCCAAGACTGCGTTATCGTTTTTCTTATATTTGGACATTTTCAAATGGATTCATTGAAAACATTTATTCTTAATTAGCGGTTCATAGTGACCAATTCTGTCGTTTGTCATATACTTAGTTGTTCATTTTAACGAAGCTATACGTTCTCTTACAACTCTGTTTTCAGGAGTGGTGGTTCTTCTTTATTTGGCCTAAGCGGAAACACGCCACTGAACAGGGCCGTATCGGCCCCAGTGTCTTTTGTTTTAGAAAAGGTTTACAGATTCACTATTTAGCGTCTTAAATGCGGGTATCTGGCTGCAGTTTTATTCATCACATTCAATGTATAGTTATATAGATTTTTTTTCATTGGATGACAAGTTGGTCTTCTTCTAAGCTGAAAAGGAAGTCACGTTTGCAGTGTAAAAATAAAAAGTTCGCGGGGAATTTATTAGATAAGCTTCGAAAATTGTACATGAAAGGGCCCGTCACTTAGAAAGTTTTGGTCATCCTCAAGCTACAGAAAAGTCCAGGGAGTTTTTACTTCTCCCAACAGATATTTTACAGCAATCAGTCGTTTGCTGCCCCTACTTATTGGCTGGGTTTACGATATAATGATCAAATTAATGCTATGCTAACACTATACAGGATAACTTTAGCGCCGGCACCAAAACCATACCGAATAGGGCTTCTGTTCACACATAATAACGGTGATTTAGGCGAGATTTCTGTAACGGACGGATCATTATTTTTTTAAGGGGGAGGTTGGAAAATTTTCACATGCAAACATCTTTTTTATATGCGACTCCTGCTACAAACAATTTATATTGTGTCTCCGTCCTCCTGTAAACACTTTATTTTTTATTTCCATACAATGTATTTCTGTGTTTACACTCTCTGCAAACAATTTATCGCAAAATTTCCTCGAAGAGTCACATCTCCTGAGTCACATATTGGATACTAGGTGTTCAGTCGGAGTTGCTTATGGTTTCGGCACAAAAAGCCATCCGGTATGGTGTGCATAAGCATAGCCTATTTCTGTCGCCAATTAAAGATCTGCGGCATATTGCATTTTAATTTGTTCTGGGAGCCTAGTTGTCCACTGAATAAACTGCTTTTGATGTTCAATAGTCTCATCACTTAACACCTGCATGTAAATTTGAAACCTGACGGGTTGAAAAACATCTATAGGATACATATTTAGTGTTATTTTATTTTCTTTCTTAACGTTTCTTTTTTTGATCTTGATCGTAATAGGTATTTTATAGTTATTTTTTGTTTATTCATATGAGGGCGGTGGGTTTGACTTAATGAAACCAGAAAGTCGGATCAACCAATTTATAGCAAAATTGAGAGTAAAAACCAATAGATCATGAACATGACTAGAGGAAATTGAAAATATTGATAAAATAAAGAGCGTAGTAGTTAACAGGTGCCATATGTATATTTTTATCATTTATCATCATTTAAACAAAAGAGTTGTTTTATTGTTAATTTAGCCTCATAAGAGTCAGTTTTTAAATGATTCACAAAAATGTCGGAATCATATGTTATTGGGAAACTGGCTTAGCTTTTAAAACTAATTTCTTTATCCAGCAGATTTGGAGTAGTTTCTTCAGATCTACTTCTCGGCAGTTGTTTGGTGTTCAAACGACAAAGTTTTAGTTCACATTTATGTAATCCGACTGGCAGGCTTATTATTTTAAACATATTTCTTCCACTTAGCGTCGTGAAAAGCGTGCTTTCCATTAGAGTCAGTAATGATTGTCTCAACAATTATTGTTTTCATTAAGGAAACAGATGGAAAATTTCTCTTCTCAGTTCTAAGATAAGTCACTTTTTGCTTTAGAGGTTTAAAACTTAAAAGAAATTCTATGCTTTTTCATAAATTTAAAGGACTGCATGGATTTTTTTGTTTTTGTTTTTATACTCTGTTGAACTAGTTATTGGTATGTTAATACTTCCTTTTTATCGTTTGAATAAGTATCTTAGTAATTACATGCAGTAGTTCAGAGACTGTATTAGACAACAACTTAGTGATTATTACCTTATTGCCTTAAAGATGGCATGGTAGACACTGCGGTTGATATCAAAGGCGGAGGTGGGCAGGAGATATTAATTGATAAGGGGCTTGAATTTTTTAATGAGCATGTTGTTTTTTTCTTTTTTACATAGCTCTAGGGGAACCTATTTTCATTCTCACAATTTTAGTATTACAGTTTCTGTCTTTCGTCCATAGCCACTGCAGTCATATTTTTAAATACCTTCGAATGCTTTCTAGAGTATTCTTGGGTTGCACGTGACGTCACCAAAAATCAAACTAGGAAACTATCGATTCTTCTGAGTTTCTACTTTCACGAGGTATTACAGTATCTAAACACCTGTACATAAACAAATTTTTGGTTCGAAAGGGTTCTTCGTTTTGCGAGAGAGGACGCTTGAATTTCCAGGCTTTTGCGTGACGCGGCATTTAGCTGGCGGCCGGGAAAGCTCTTATGTGGGTTAAAAACATTACCGATTTTGGGAGATATTGCAATCTAAACATTCCTTGTCTAAGAAGAAATATTACTGTAATCTTTATGAGTTCCTCAAGCGAAGAATTCACGCATTAGTAGGAAAACTCGAAAACAGATGTTTCTGTTAGTATCCGGCGGCCATATTGGTGTTCCTGAAAGGGACACCAACATGGCGTTTCCATACAAAGCCTTATAATCTAGGTAAACCGTTTTTCCCAATATCTCGCATTTGAAATATTTCACAGACCTGATTCTTGGCAAGGGTTTTTGTATATTTATCTTTTTTCATTTCCCAGATTCTAGTCCTTCTGTATTGAATGGTTTGCATTTTTATTTTTCATTGCGTGACAGTGCAAGCCGAGAATTGGTTAATTTTCTTATACTGTATAGAAAAAATTTGAATTGATTGAAGGATTCAGTCAAATAGTTGTTACCTCGGGGGGGTACTTAACAAACTTTCATACAGGGAGGCTCCGCCCCGAGGTCCAACCCCTTACCGTTTTATTTTTGCCAGAAAAGGTACTCCTTCCGTATATCCACAAATGGCACCCGTTTCACATCCCTTGCTTAGAAATTTGCATCCCAAGATACATGTATGAATAAATCTGCCTCCTCCACACAGGCTTTTCCAAGGCGCTGTGGGGAGCACTTAGCGTGTAAAAAGAAGAAAGGAAGAAACAACAAGCGAGAAGCACGAGATTGGAATGATGGGAACGAACGCAGAGCGCGAGCAGGGAGTGAAGCCGGGGAAGAAAAAATTAGAGAAGTTAGGGTTAGGGTTAACACTCAAGAAGTAGACTGAAACACTCGACTACCTGTCGTGTTTCCCCTTACACTTCTTTCATGCTCTAGCCCGCCTCCTGCGTGTTTACAACAGAACAGAGCACAGTCAAAGCTTCTATATTTGCTAATTTTCACATACTTTGTCCGACAGTTTTGTGAACGTTTTTTCTGCTCTCGACTCCCTACATAATCAAATTGTGGAACACCATAGGAGAACTTATAACAAGTTCAAATAGCTGGGTAAAAGATAACTATAACAAACACTACTACGCTTGCAATTCGATTTGTCTTAATGTTTGATGTTTTAACACTCTGAGACCAGGCTTTTTTCTTGGTCTCGGGTGGTGCTGTTTGGAAATAGGTGGAGTGGCACTGCAAGCTCTCTTTCCCCGTGGAAAGCCCTTTATTTAAAAATAAATTCGTAATCGAGATCTGTCGTCTTGATAATGCACAATCGACTTGTTGTTTATTCTAACTAGCTGACTTAAACATTGGTTAGTTTGTCATCCTGACTTTTGAGAGCGATTGCAATATTTGCGAATAATGTTCTTCACTTCTTGTATTTTTGCACATCTTTATTCTGCCCCACATCGACCGCTCTATTTCGGGTAGTTTAATTGCCAGACCTATAAACAATGCGCATGCTATGCTGCAACTAAAGGAGCATAGCAAACAAATAAAGCCAATTACACCTATTATATACTCAGCTATATACTGACTTTTCAGTTCAGTCTTTCAGTATCGCGCTATGGTCACTGCACCCAAAACTCTATTGTATCAAATTGTCAGACTAAAAATTCTTATCCATCACCCTCGCCAGATGGATGCCATAAATCTCGTCCCTAGATCTGTATATAAGTTTGAACTGCGTAAGATTAGGCTTGTTGACATATCATCCCTCACCTCCCCATGTTTTTTCGGCCCTCTCACTGATGAGCTAAACCTTCTTAATTTGTCCTGATTGGGGGATGTATTGTGCGAAAGTTGAAAAACAACAATTTTTTTCATCGTAAACCATAAAAAAGGTGATTTTTTTAAGTAAAGGTCTACAGAAAAACGAGTGAAATATGGTATAAAAGTGACCAACATTAAGCATTTTTATTTGTTGTCAATTTTTAACAGGTGAAAATCATCAATTTCCAGACACATGAATTAACAAATCATCCCCTTTAATTTCTGTTTTAATTACTTGAGATATTTTCTAACTAAGCATGGATCTCATAAGATATACAGGCTCTGATATCTGCAGAAAAATAAGCTTACTTTAACAGTTCCTTTTTTTATAGTTATTGATTTTAAAAGCAGCGCAAAATCTTGCGGATGATGTTCTTCACTTCTTGTCTCACATCTCTGATCCTCCAGCAATAAAGAGCTGGGTTTAAAGAAGAATTTAAGTAAATGACAGTCACGAATGATTCCCAAGGAAGTTCTATATATATTTCGTTCGAAAAGGGTAGTTTACGAAATAACTTTAAAAATCCTATTAAGTTATATGGAAAATAGCAAATAAGTAAAGCTAACTGCACCCATGCTATGCTGTACACTGTCTACTTGTATCGAGCTATGTTCAGTTGATTCCCTCCTCCATGTGGCCACTGTCCTTGCTGAGTATTGCCATGAACCTGAACTTGTCGATAACGAAGGGTTTTAAATATCTTCACGTAAGAGAATACTGAAACTAGCAAGGAAAATGTTATTAAAGCAGAGAATAACCAAAAGGCTATGTCATATAATTTTGGATACTCAAAGAATGTATCACCTGTTGCTGGAAGGGCACTAATCAACCAAATACAAACTATAACCACCCAAACTCGTCTTAATGTTACAGTGTGTCTATATCTCAGGCCTAATAACAGGGCAAGGAGTCTGTCCACACTGATGGCGGCTGATGTAAGGAGTGATACCGCAGGAAGCAGAAAAAAGAAAAACCAGTCTGCCAAAACAATTGCGACATTCTCATTCCAAGTTGTGAACCGGGGAAAGAAAATAGTAATATACAGTGGTTGAGAGATAAGTCCAACTAAAAGATCGGTGACTGCCAGGCATCGAAATAACAGTTTTGTTGGTGGATAAATGGACGTCACTTTATGAAGAGCAATCAGGATCAGAGTGTTGCCAAGAGATGCGGTGATGGCGAGAAAAATATTGATGCCTGCAAGAATTGCCATGCTCGTTGAATAAGCATTCCATGAGGTTACTTCAGTCGCACTTGTGCTGTTTTCATATTCAGTTGAGTTTGCCATGTCTTTACATTTGTTGCAAAGGAACTACACTCGGCTTAATATGTATGCAAAGAATTCCTTCTAAGTTTAGTAATTGCTTTTGGAAACAACGCAGGCCTATATAAATAGTTTCTACAAGTAAAGAGATTTTAAAAAAAGGTTGTTTTTAATTGGTTCTTAGCTAAACAGGATGACTGCCACATTTAGAACTAGTGCATTGTTTTACGAGATACCGGTCAGTGGTCTTTGAACTACTATCGTATCCTGTTTATTTTTCTGTTCTTTCTAGGAGCTAAACCTAACCTAAGAAGCTGAGTATGCCGATTGTTGAATTTAGGACAAAATTTCTTTGTTCGATTAAGTGTCTTAAGTTAGCCGTTCAATGCACCCACCCTTAGTCTGAATATAAAACAACGAACTGACAACCACCTTATTGGTTCGCTTATAGACGATATGGGCAGACTTGGGCAGCTGATCTATTGCCTAAATTTTATAATTAAAACAATAAACCGATCCTTACGGCAGGAAGGTTGTTTTCTTTCTTTATCTTTTCTATCACTCTTGAGGATCAGTTTAGTGTTTTTACTTTAAAATTTGGCGATCCAAATTTTACTGATCCAGGTCTACTAAACATGACTTAAGATCCGGCTGATCCTTACTGGTTCGTCGTCGTGGTTTTTCCTTTGCAAGTGTTTCTCATCTATTGACTGAATTACCAATAACTGTCAGTCTCTGTCTGCAAGGAAGCCGCAAGGCGGGAAGCCTATTTTCTTTCTTAATTAAGCTTGTAGTCATTGCAGTTATTGTTTCTTTAATAACTTGGTTTGTAATTTGCTTCCAAGACTGCGTTTTTGTTTTTCTTATTTCTGGACATTTTCAAATGGATTCATTGAAAACATTTATTCTTAATTAGCGGTTCATAGTGACCAATTCTGTCGTTTGTCATATACTTATTAGTTGTTCATTTTAACGAAGCTATACGTTCTCTTACAACTCTCTTACAACGTTTTCAGGAGTGGTGGTTCTTCTTTATTTGGCCTAAGCGGAAACACGCCACTGAACAGGGCCGTATCGGCCCCAGTGTCTTTTGTTTTAGAAAACGTTTACAGATTCACTATTTAGCGTCTTCAACGCGGGTATCTGGCTGCAGTTTTATTCATCACATTCAATGTATAGTTATATAGATTTTTTTTCATTGGATGACAAGTTGGTCTTCTTCTAAGCTGAAAGGGAAGTCACGTTTGCAGTGTAAAAATAAAAAGTTTCAACTTTGTTAGAGATTGATGGATAAGGGAAAATTTTAGATCAATATAAAGTTTTAGAAAGTGAGAATTTTCTGATTCCTTTGTCCATCACAATTTTGAATACTAAAACGTTTTGGGTTTTCTTTTTCTACGAAAAATAGCATAACCTGGGGAGGGAAATGTAAAACAATTAAACTAAGGAAAATTGTAGGTAATTTATTGGATAAGCTTCGAAAATTGTAGATGAAAGGGCCGTCACCTAGGGTCATCCTCAAGCTATAGAAAAGTCCAGGGAATTTTTACTTCTCCGAATAGATATTTTACAGCGAACAGTCGTTTGCTGCCCCTACTTATTGGCTGGGTTTACGATATAATGATCAAATTAATGCTATGCTTACACTATACAGGATAGCTTATGCGCATGCACGAAAACCATACCGAATAGGGCATCTGTTCACACATAATAACGGTGATTTAGGCGAGATTTCTGTAACGGACGGAACATTATTTTTTTAAGGGGGAGGTTGGAAAATTTTCGCCTGCAAACATTTTTTTTATATGCGGCTCCTGCTACAAACAATCTATTTTGTGTCTCCGTCCTCCTGTAAACACTTTATTCTTTATTTCCATACAATGTATTTCTGTGTTTACACAGGCTCTGCAAACAATTTATCTCAAAATTTCCCCGAAGAGTCACATCTCCTGAGTCACATATTGGATACTAGGTGTTCAGTCGGAGTTGCTTATGGTTTCGGCACAAAAAGCCATCCGGTATGGTGTGCATAAGCATAGCCTATTTCTGTCGCCAATTAAAGATCTGCCGCATATTGCATTTTAATTTGTTCTGGGAGCCTGGTTGTCCATTGAATAAACTGCTTTTG